TAAATATAACTACCTAAGATATTTTATACCAGCAGATGATTTTGTGAAGGGAATATTATGAAGATTATTTGTGTAAAAAAGTATTTGCCTTCAACAATCATTTTGTTTATAATTAATCTCATACTTTAAGCAAAAATTTCAACCGGTATTTTGCTGAAAATATTAACGAAAGAATCGCCGTCTTTATGAGTAATCTATTTTTAGTCAAGTTTACCGTTTATCAGAACATTACATCAGTCAAATGTTTATATTTGTGTTGGGAAAGAAGGGAAAACAGGTGTTGCGCTGACGCAACGTCAGCAGGAAACAGGTAGTCAATCTCCTTTTTCACTCATTTCTTTGGATGTTCTGGTTCATGTTCTGGTTGTTTAAAAATGCCTAGAACAAGGTATCTTACATTAGAAGAAGCCCTTAAAAGATCTTTTGATGAAGAAACAGATGATGATAATGTTAATAATGACCAGACTGAAACTGATAATGTTGTTGTTCCCCCAATAATTGCAGAAGCTAGTGACAGAGAAGAAAGGAATGGCAATGTTTTAAGTAATGATAATGATATTTTACCAAATGATACTCCTGGGGAAGTTGAAATTCACGTAAGAAGTAAGTTTCAGCCTTCTAAAAGCAGTTATAGTCATACTAAAAAGTTTAAAAAGCAAAAGACTGAAATCTTGAAATGAATAAAAAAAGGAACTGTTAGTTATGTCTCAGGAAGAACATGAAGAAAGAGATAGAAGAGAAATTATAAAAGACAAAATACAAGGTAAAACTAGTGCACAGATTTTCGATTTTCTTTTGGTTTTAGACATTACTTCTCTCTTGTTGAACAGACAAATATATACGCTTAGAAAAAAAAAAAAACCCAGAATTTATTGCATCTGAAGCCTATATGAGAAGATTTATTGGAATATTATTGCTTACAGGATATCATTCTTTACCTCAAGAAAAAAATGTATTGGTCTTTTGATAAGGACATTTCTGTTCCTGTTGTACGAGAATCGATTTCACGTTTGCAGTACAGGAATATGAAGCAGAATTTGCATTTGACAGTACTGATAAATTATATGAGGTGAGATATCTAAACTTACTAAATGTCACCACTTTTTACTACTGGAAATATAGTCTCTTTTAAATTTCAGACATGAGAATGCATTATTCCTTTTGCAAACTCCTATTGAGAGTGTAGAATTAGTCAGAAATACATCAGCAACAGGAAGACCTAGTAAATTCAGCATTCAAAAACCATTGCATGGAGATGGTAGACATTTTATCGTAAAGTCCATTGATAACAAAAGACTTTGCCATAAAGAGTACCATAGCCAGACTGTTTATAGATGCAAAGTATGTAATGTAGCTTTACATCATGTTTGTAATGAAGCTTTTCAAGCTTGAATCTTTCAATTGAAATAATCTGTATTTATAAAATAAATACAATGTATATTTTAATATTACATTAATTACAAGTAAAGTGATTTGTAGATTTATAAAACGTTATATAGCTAAAAAGTAATCCTGCGCTCCACTCAAATGAAACATCACACGATTACAATCCTACTCACTAAACATCCGTAGTCTTATTCCGCTGACGTTGCGTGAATGCAACACTCGCTTTTTCCACAGGTAAGAGCATATTTTTTTTAATTTTTCAATGTAAATTTATGTTATGAATGCTTAATTTAATATTTGTTATTATTTTCATTGGAAAAGAAACATTCCTTGTAGTTTTGGCGGTTAATGGGTTAAATCTAAATAGTCCTGTCCCATCAAGAACAACATTATTCCAGGAATCAAATTTAAAATCCCCTTTTCGCTATGCAGCTTTAATTCTTCTATGTGTTGACCCGAGAACTTGAAACAAAAGGAACTGGATGATCACACTGAGGTATTTTATGTAAATAACAACAGTCACAGAAAAACTAGCATTACAAGAAAGTATCACTTTTTTATCATTGTCAAGAGTGAAGTAGCAAAAATGAAATATTGTAAATGTAGTAAATATAGTAAAACATTTCTCAAAAGAAACTCAGATAAAGCTTTTATCAACTAAACAGAATGGTAAATGCTACAGTGTGAGAAAATCATTTAAACAAAGAATAACTGTTGTCATTTCCATGTAATATAGTTTTGTTGCTGGTAGTAAGAAATAATAATACCACATTCACCTCTGCTTTGTATTATTAATCAGCCATATAGTCTGCCAGATAAGATAATGACATCTCCGCCTTTTAAGGATGCAAGGATTCACTCTCATGCAATTAATCATTTGCAGTCTTTTCAAATGTCTCAGGTCTGCAAGAGCACGATAAATCACTGCTTTTTGAATCTTCTGTTGATTTTCTTACAGTTTTTGTTATGGGTTCAGGATCTTCAATGGCAAAATCTTCATTTTGTTGGGCCAAAGAATCTGAAAGTTGTTGGTTTTCAACTAACCATATTCATGGGCATATATAGGAGTATCTCCTTTGGGTGCCAAATGTCGTATTGAAATATTGGTTTCATGACTGTCTGGAAGTTTAATATAAGCTTAATCTGGGTTAGCCTCAATGAGCTGTACTTCCTGCACTATAGGTTCTTAATTATTAGCTCGTGTATGGTTCTTCATTAATACTGTTTCAGATTGTGTTAACAATGTAGGTAAAGAGCATCCAATGTATGTTATTCTAGCATGGACATATGTTCCTGTGGTTTGGCATTTGTTGCTATACCTAAGAGAGACCATATCGAACACAAAACAGGTTATAGAACTCCTTCCCAATGTGTGTAGCCAATGCCCTACAAGCTGGCTACACAGACAAGAAAAACTGATTTAAAGAGAGCTCATTTAGTCAATATGAGAGGTTTGGCCAGTGGTCGTAAAAAAGTGGAGACAAGAAAATTCAGGCTAGAATTCATGATTTGGGCGTTATGATAATGTTCCATATTTAAGCAATATTCCTGTAGTAGAATAAATGAGCCACCCAACTGGTATAGTGTTTATCATTGCTGACCTCCATGCCAAAGAGCCCAGGTTTGAATTCCAGAGGAGATGCCAGTTTTTAATGTATAGTATCAGTGCGGCATGGCGGCACTTTAAATATGCAGCGAGCCAAAAGTCCTCTTATGTGGTTTGGTGGAAGAGAGAGGGGTGGGAGATCCTCGGACCCATCCCACCGGGATGCTGTCCATCAAAATTGGGGCAGAACTGAGCTAAATCGTACTGTCATCTGTAAGGTACTCAAGGCTGATGCCAACAACAGGCATATCTTGTTTTCCTTGCCACGAGGAATTTCATGGGCTTGGGCTGATGTTCCTGTCAGACAAGTGAGCCTAAGTAACAACAACAACATAATAAAATGTTCATTTTTTAATGTTTCTTGAACTTGAATAAATGTATAAGTTTCAGTCAATAAATAATGAGTGAGAGGATATTAAACCAAAACTGTGATATTTAGAAAAATGGAGACGGGCGTGAAATGTAGTTGCTGGTATGACGAAAAGGACTCGTATACTTTTCACTCGTTAGGTGGTGTTAGTGTGATGCAAGCAATGATGAAAGGATGATAATTGAGCAGCTGCCAAGTTCATTTATTCCATTTCTGAAAGCGATGCATGATGGAGGCATCCAAAGACAAACAACAGGGTGTTATGTGACTTTTAACAACAGAAGGTTGTAGAGACATAAGGTTATTTCAAAGCAGAAGACTATAAATGAGCATTGCCCATGCCGGGACTCGAATCTCAGATCTCTCGAATACTCGCCGAATTCGCTGACCATTACACCACAAAAGCATGCTTAGAACGCGGGAGAAATACTTAAGGTGTAAGAAGCCATGACTCCCATTGATGTATGGAAAGGATGTATAGTGAGCAGTATATGTCCTTGTCAAGATTCAGGAGTGGAACAAGCGCTTTCATGAAGAATGCATCTCACTTACCAAAGCATGTCACAGACCACCAGCATTTTTGAAGTAGCTAAGCTCATCAAGAACTGTCGTGTTACAGTAGAAGACATTTCTGCATCAGTTGGGATTAGCCATGCTGCAGCTTGCACAATCATCGTGAACACATTAAAACTCCATAAAGTGTGTGCACAATGGGTCCCCCACCAACAGACACTGAAAACAAGAGGCCTATTGCATGGCCAAGTTTCTACAATCCCTGCAGTGTTACACTGACAGTGGAAGTGATTTTCTCTCGCATTTATCACCAGTGACGAAAGTTGGTGCCACCAATTTGATTTGTAATTGAAGCTCACAGATTCCCCTCCACCAAGTGCTAGCAATATAATGCTTTCATTCTTCTTCGATCACAAAAAGCCACTGCTCTTCAAATTCATGGAGCATGAAGCTACAATTAGTGCTGATCAGTGTTGTGAAACATTAACAAAGTTCAGGCAGGCAATGAAATTCAAACGTCCTAGAAAACGTTTTCATTCTGTCATCCTGTTGCATTACAGTTTTAGACAACACATAGCCAAGGCAACAAAGGAACTTCTTCAGACATTAAAATTCAAAGTCTTGATCCACCCACCTTTTAATCCATGTGCCTTCCATATCTTCCATCAGCTCAAAAAAGCATTGCAGAGACAACAGTTTCAAACAGACAATGAAGTCCAAGAGTGCTTGTGCAACTGATTCAAAGAGCAGCAAGAGGTTTTTTTCACATGCATGACATTCTGTGATTAGTATCACAATGGGATAAATTCCTAAACAGCTGGTGGATAATGCTTTTAAGTTACATTAAATAAATTTTATGAAATATCCTCTGCTTCATTATTTATTGATTGTATCAAATATTCTTGAACCTTAACAAACATTAATTATTGTTCATGAAAAATCAGACATCTCCTAAAAATAAGCCCTAGCATGTTTTTTGCAACAAAAACTAATACAAGACTGGGTCTCATTTTCTGGGAAACAGAGAATGTATATTATTAATAAATTTGCATTTTAAACTAGAATTCATGTTTTTAGTTTTAAACTGAAATTACATATTTGTTATGGCATATTATATCTTTTTAGAAAACCTGATGAATGGGCTGTTTCTTGGGGAGGAAGTGGAACTATTTATGGTTGGGGTCATAATCACCGAGGCCAGTTAGGTGGTGTTGAAGGAGCTAAAGTAAAATTGCCTACTCCATGTGAAGCAGTGACTAACTTGAGACCACTGCAGATAGTTGGCGGTGAACAGACATTATTTATTGTAACATCAGAAATGAAGGTAAAATTTAAGTTTTATTAATTTATAATGTGTTTTATATAGAATATAAGTAACAATGCATTTTGATTACATTTTTAACATAACATGCTACTGCATTTTATTTGTTGAGATAATAAAATGATTTATGTATCATTTATGTGTAGACCAGGTTTGATGAACTTTTGAAGGCTTTCATCTTGAAAAAATGTTCCACAGAACTTACTTAAATCTATATCTAAACATATGTAAAAAATAATAAAATACATGTATAATATTTTACCATAAATTATTTAGAAAGGAGATAGTGAAAATCTGGTCACTAGCATTTCATTAGTTATGAAATACATTTTCAGGTCAGTCTTTTTAATTATTCCCAGCAGAATAATTAATCATAGGAATCTCGTCATTTTAGGGACATATACAGGAGCTTGTTGATTTTGGATGAAGATGGATTATCACTCTTTTTGTGGTTATAAAAATTATTATTGTCTTCAACTATTATCTTCATTAGATCATCATTGAAAAAACTGTGAAAAAATCAATTTCACTCTCATAATTTTGAATTAAATTTACTTCTGCAGTTCCCATGAATTCATAAGGCTTCAGTTACTTAACAGATTGAGTTTATTATAAAGTATCACTCTTGTACTGGATTGTGAGGTGAAAGCAAAAGAAGCTTCCAACTCAGTCTCTGACAAAATTTCAGTATCCTAATCGCTATCCTCACTTTAATTTAGAGTCTTCAGCATCAAATAAGTCACTTATGGGCTCGTTTACAATTCAGATATACTCTTCTTTCGGTAAAAACATCTTTTTCTTAGACGTCGTACTATTAGTTATATTCTCTTAACCAGTGCAAAAACTTATGTCTGCTATCTAAAGAAAATGCTAACTGAATACAAACATGAGTTCCTGAAACCACAGCTCCACTCTTAGTCTTTCTATAGAAGGAAAAAAAATTAAAGCATCGGAAACTATTCAATGTTTATATCACACGAAGCCTCAACTGCACATCAGCAGTACTTTTTATCTTTTGCTCATAGATCTAAACAAATCAGCAGAATCAGAAAGTACTTCACAGACTCAAGGCCAACAATGTATATGTTTAAATAGGATAAATATAGTGAGCACAAAGCACCACCTAGCAATTTAAAAGAATTCTAAAAGAATATGTATGTTTGAGAGTACCCGTCTGGATGAAGGTTTTCAGTTCACTGACATGCCATTGCAAGGGAGTTTATAGTTCAGAAACAGAGTTTGGGCAAGCTACTTGTGTTTCATCAGCAGGAATTCAAAAGAAATGTCACCCTCTGCTCTTCTCTTCTTTGTTGTATTATGTTCTGTTGAGGTTTGGGATTCTGTGATTTCTCTTGAGATTTGAATAGTTATAACTTCAGAAATGGCAGTTTAGATATAGGGGAGATAGGAAAGAAAATTCTTTATTGCAACATGGCATTAAGATGATGTTAGTGGTTAAATTTATAAGAAATGATGCATGGTATATAGAAGTATCCAAAACTTAGCTGCAAGAATTATAGATCATGGAAAGGAATATATGCATAAGCTCTTTAAACAATAATTGCATCTGTGATAAAAATAGCTATATATAATCTCTTTGCAAAAATTGCTCCTGAATGGTAATTTATCGGCAACCCTAGTCTTTTTCTTCTCATTCTTCAAGCTGTTTACATTGAAACTATGGCTCTCAGTTTAATATTTCCTCCTTTTGCATATTTATGATTACACAAGAGGTAAAATAGCAAAAATCTGGATGTACAGACGATGAACAGAAATCGTAGAATGTAAGTGTGCTTCTATCTTTTGCTTTCAAGTTTTAGGAAGTTTAATTCTTTCTCATGCATTAAAAAATGCTTATAATAGAATATATATATATATTTGCTTAAATTACAGCTCAAGGAAGAGACTTTGTCCATTAAGAAATTTTCCTGTAGGCTGTAAAGAAATTTAATTTTCTTAGCGTTTGTAGCAATTGTGCATGTGATGCATGTAAATTTATTATCACAGAGATATTATATCTATTTATGTTTTTATTTATTTTTAATATACCTGAACATTTGTGACTAAAAGCAGAAAAATAAAAAATGCATAATTTTAATGAAAAAAGTATGCTGATAGAGTTAAAATTTCTGGCTGAAAACAATCCAAATAACTACATAATTTTCAGAGGAATATGCAACTTTATGATTTTTTATTTCTTCGTTATTGAGTGCACTTAGTTTTGTGTAATGGAGCTGCTGAATAATTTTTTGCTGTATTACTTTGAACAAAAAGCATTGTAAATTTTGGAGCAACAAAAAAAAGGGGGGAGAAAAGGAAGAAAGGAAAAAGAAAAATTTCTGCATAAAAGAAGTTATAAACTGGTAGTTTTGTTTTCATCATCTTATATTTTGTAGTTAAAGCAATTCTTTCTTTATAATTTAGGTGTATGCAACAGGGTATGGGGCTGGAGGTCGACTTGGCATTGGTGGTGCTGATTCTGTGTCTACTCCAACATTATTAGAAACTATTCAAGACATTCCAATAAAAAAAGTGGCTGTAAATTCTGGAGGAAAGCACTGCTTAGCTCTTACCATTCATGGTGAAGTTTATTCATGGGGTGAAGGAGATGATGGAAAACTGGGCCATGGTACAAAAAGGTGTGTTGTAAATATTTTGTTTCTAATGCAAAATATATTTTTAAGCTTAATTATTTTCCGTTAGGAAACTGCTAATGTTGAAAAACATATGCAATAATTTTGTTTTGGGAAGGGGCAAAACTGCTTTCCTTGATTTTTGCATTCCTGATGTTTTTTACTTATAAATTGTATACTCTGTGTAAATTCTGTAGTATAACTCAATAAATCCAAATCAGGCCCTCTGCCTGTTTTAATCTGGCTCTCGGTATAGGGTTGTATTTTACATGAAAAATTTAATTAAGTAAATCAAATAACATGCTCTAATACAGTTGCCGATAATTGAGCTGAGAAGTTGTATGTAATAACCCCCTGTAGTGCTATTGGTGCCGCATACTTGAATTTTGTCGTTTGCCATTACAGTAACTAATCACTGTCAGTTCGCAGTTTTGCTTTGGTGGCTCACATGATATCATCTGTCTTATCAGTTGGTCTTACTATCAGTGCTTTGTGATATTTTTTTCATTTTATTTTATTTATTACCCATCATTTACAAGTTGCTCTGAAGATCAATAAAGAAGAGAAATGTGGACTCTGAATGCCATGCTTTTAATGCAGAATGAAGTGTGAAATAATTTGTCATACAGAGTTAAATAACAAAGTATTGTATTTATTATGTAAATGACATGATAACTGTGCGAGAAGATTACATTAGCCATTGTCATTACCAAACTAAGCTCACAAACAGTACTCAAAATTCACAGAAAATGAATGATTGATGAAATTGTGAAATTTGAAAGGGAGTGCTTCCTCAGAATGCAATTTCTTTGTAAAAGTAAAAAATGATAATGAAGCAATATCTTTTGTCATCATAAATTATTAGCTTATGAAAGAGAAACCGTGTACTTGTGCTGGATTAATTAAGTCATGTTTCCCATGATAGCTGAAGAAATGTGCCCAAATAAAATGGATTTGTTACTATTTGTCAGTTTTTCTGTGAAAATGACTGTTAGAAGAGTTGATAACATGAGGAACAGATTAAAAAACTAAATAAATGAAAAAGGCAAAGCAAAAGTTTCAAACTTTTTAGGGGCTGCTGATAAGTTGTCAGACATTACTGATACTGCCCAGTTGCTGCTTGCTGTTTGTTTGAGGAGTCAATACTTTGAGCAAGGTCACTGGAAAGTTAACTTCTGTGAATGATCTGCATGGAAAAACTGCAGGCAAAGATATCTTCATGGAAATCGAGGAATCCCTAACATAGTACAGTTTGCAATGGAATCAGTTAAAATGCATTATAAACTGGTGGGGAAAATATGTATGTGATGGGGAGAAGGTTAGTTGCATAAATTTTTAAGACTTGTAAGAAGCTAAGTGTTCAAAACGTCTGGTAGTTTATTGTGTTATTTATCAACAGGCTCTTTGTGAGAAACACATCTGCCATATGCTATTGAGCCAGTTGTGCGAGCAGTTAGCTTTATTTACTGTTACGAGCTTGTCACCATTGTCAGTTTCATGATTTTACATTAAAGATGGAAGCCAAATATTCTGACATGCCCGGATATTCTGACTGTACAGCAATTGGATGGGCCAGCAATGTTTAATTGAGTTTTTCTAACTCAGTGAAACAATGCAAATTTTTCTAAATGTGAAAACCTGCTCACAACCACTATTATCAAGCTTTGAAAAGCTATGGAAATTAGCATTTGCTACAAACATGTGATATCTCATTGAATTAAAATTATTGAAAAAAAAGGGCTCGTATATGAAATCTATTCTATTGTAAAGTTGTATCATTAAAACTTTGTATTCTTTGAAACACAAATCACACTAAACAAGTTTGATAATTTTCCATGCTATACAACATTTCAAATATTAATGAAATCTCCATTCTCCCCAAAAAGTTGGATTCTGACATATTTCCTGAATTTAAATTTTAAAGCTCTTAGGTTATTTTGAAGCAAGAGACATGAAAAATGAGCAATGCCCTCGCAGGGACTCAAACCTCGGACCTCTTGAATACACGTCGAGTGTGCTGACCATTACACTATGAAGGCATGCTAAGAAGATGGGAGAAATACCTTATATACTCCCTTTATAAAGGAACACTGGGGATTAGGGGACCCAGTCACCAAATCCTGGTGGTGGAAAATCATCATCATCCACTTTTTAGTTTGGGTTCCACTGTAGAGTCGTCAGGATCCCTGAAGCAGGAAACTAAAGAAATGAGCAATGCCCTCACCGGGACTCGAACCCAAGACCTCTCAAATATGCGCCAACTGTGCTGACTATTGCACCACAAAGGCATGCTAAGAAGGCGGGAGAAATACCTTATAAAATTAGTTACAACAGCATTTTAGTGATCTTAATACAAGTGCAAAAGACATTTCCATAGTTCAAAATCCATTTGGCTGTACAATTGGGGAGGTACCATCACACCTTCAATTGTAAATGATTGATCTGCAAAATAGTGACATACTAAAAATCGTGTTTAAAGAAATGGATCTAATCTAACTCTATTTATACTTTTCAGATGATAAATATAGTTTATTTAAATCATGTGCACAAGAATTTTTATCTGTGTTTGGAAGTACTTACAAGAGTGAAAGGACATTTTCGAAAATGAAATATGTAAAGTTGCAATACAGATTGCAACAGATGTAACAGATGTAAACAGATGATCATTTGTAAGTAACATTAAGGATAGGGAAGTATAAACTTCCTATCCTATACATTAAGGATAGGAAGTTTATACTTCCCTATCCTTAATGTTGTTCAACTCCAGTATGATGAATGTTATTTAAAAAAAAAATTAGTGTAAAAAGTGTAAAATTGAACTTGTTCTATATGTTTATATGTGTAATAAATGGAAATTTTTTTTTATAACTATCAGCAAAATGTGTCTAAACCTTAAGTAAACATATCACTTGAGCCTAAAATTCTTATGATCTGGCCCTACCCCCCCCCCAAAAAAAAAGGTTTGCCAAGCCCTGTTATAATTAATTGCATCCAGAACATTCATATTTAAATTTTTTAAAAATAAAAATATATTGGCCTAAATATGGGATTTTTTTTAAATTTAAAATGTCCTTTTGAAAATCATGCACATCTTATACAAACAAACATTCAAAATTATGAAGTTGAGGAAATCAACTACTGTCAAAAGTCGTTAATCCGGACTCGTCAGGACTTCGGCTATTCCGGATTATCAATTTTTCCGGATTATAGATCATCAGTTTAAATCTGGTAAGATGGCATGCAAAAATTATAAAATTAAAAATATGAAACCATAATTTATGAAATTAAAGAACAATTATGATCTAAAGGGTATCAAAATTTGTGCAAAAAAAAAAAAGCTTAATTATTATGTTTACTTTATTAAACATTTCTTTCAATGTAAGTTGTTTAAGTTACTTCGTTTTATGTGATAATACTTTCTCTTTAATTCTATAAACAGACATCATTTCTTGTTCAGTTACAAGTTCCGCTCTTCAAGTCCTATAATTGCTGTGTCGAGAATACCGACTAATTTGTCAATCGAAATTTTTTCGTTTTCAATAACCTCTGTGTCACTTTCTTCACTATCGGAAGCAAATGATAATGACGAGGAATTTGATTTAAATCATATCAAAGACGGAGTACATCGAGATGAAATACTACATTTAGTAAGTAATTATAAGCCAAATAAAATAAAAACAACTGCCCTAAAGATAAGGATAGTGCTGACAGATCAACTGCTTCAAAAAATAATAAGCCGGATCGAATTCGAAGATTAAGGAATAACACAATCTGCAACATTAACTGAATTATATAATTTTAGCTTAGCTTATACCATCCATTATACATTAAACGTGCATGCGTAAACGTATTATGCACATGCGCACACGCATATTCACAGCCGTAAAGGTCTTACGTGCATGCATCAACGCGATGCATGCGCAGAAAGTTTGTAGCTTTGAGGTCCGGATTATAGATCATTCCGGATTATGGGTGTCCGAATTAACGACTTTTGACTGTATATGATTGTAGTTACAGTGGAAAACTATAGCTTAGGGAAAAATCAAAAGCAAAAGCAATGCAAAGAAGCTTTAAATGATGTGTTTCTAATAATATGAATAAAAATGAGGATGTTGTATTTAAATATGAATCTAATTCCTCAACAATTTATGAAATGGAGGGATATGAAGAAGAGATGTTTTAAATAAAAAAATAATATCAAGGTAATCATTGCTTATTCCTTACTGTTATGTTAAAAGAAAACATATTTATCTGGTTTCATTTAGGTAGGGTGCTTAAAACATTTAATTATCTTTTTTGTTAAACATATGCAGTATAGCTAATTCATATACACTGCCCTCCAAAAGTTAAGGAACAGCACGTTTTTCAAAGCTCAGAATTACAAAAATGTCAGTAACATTTAAATTCACAGTTTATATGCATTATAGTAATGAAGTTCAAGAAAATATATGCAGAAACAATAGCTGCCACCCTTATTTTATAAAAAGGAAACTTTATATAGGAGTTGAAGGAAAAAATGCAAAAATTGTAAGTTTTGTTCTCGAGTGTTGATATTCAATTGTTATTAGCAGTTTCATTGACGATATACAGGAGAGTCTGTCAATGTCCAGTCTGTCAATTTTGTTTGCCCAATTCATTGAGGTGGCAAGCCGTCGGTTGGATGGAAATGATGATGTCACAAGCTGATGCTACTAGACATCTTAATGTCTCTCATGGTAAGGTCCACCGACTATGACATCACTTTGATTCCGAGGATTCTGTGTCTAGAAGACTTATTCCAAGCAAACGTAGAGTTACAACACTTGCGGGAGACCATTATTTAGCTCTTTTGGCCTGAAGGAGGAGTAACATCTGTGGGTCATTTCATGTTAGATCATTTAGTGGCAACAGGAATAAGAATCTCAGCTACTACAGTGTGCAGATGCCTGCTCAATACAGGTCTGTATGCAAGACGACCAGTTGTTTGTGTCCCCTTCGCTAGGGGACACAAAGATGCCCGTTTATTTTGGGCAAGAGAACATGTCACCTGGAACAGTCAACAATGGTTATCTGTTCTCTTCACAGAGGAGTCCAGGTTCACATTGGAGAGCAATTCAGATCGTCAGCTGATCTAGAGGGAAAAACGCACCAATCCCGTATTGTGGAAAGACACAGCTACAGAAGTGGTGGAATAATGATTTGGGCTGGGATCTCTCTCAGTGGTTACACTGACCTGCATGTGTTCCATGGAGTAACTTTGATTGGTGTAATCTATCCAGACGAGATCCTTGATCAATATGTTCACCCACCCATATGCCACTGCTATTGGTCCTGGATTTCATCTGATGGACGACAATGCACAACTGCACCGAGCTCGGGTTGCTGAAGAATATCTTGAGGGTCATGGTGTGGAGCACATGGAATGGCCAGCTCAATCCTTAGTACTGAATCCAATAGAGCATCTTTGGGACTACCTTGGGAGACAGGTTGCTGCTTTAAGTCCTTCTGCAAGGTCGTTAGATTATCTTGAACAAGGATTATTCCATGTCTGGTTGTTACTTCCCATTTCACTAACTGACAACTTAATTGATTGCATTAAGCGTCACTGTCGCCAATGTACTGCTGCTACGGGTAGACACATTCCTTATTAGAACCCATTTTTGTAGTGTTACCACCCCATTTTTCCTCAAAAAACTGTGATATATTGATTCTCTAAGACTGGATTTCTCTGCCAAGTGTGCAATTTTTTGTTGTAATTTTACAAACATTCTATCTCACATTCATTAAAGAACTGTTTGGTGAACATATCCTCTAAATATCTGATTTCTGTGTTGCATTATTCTCTAATTAGACACAAAAAAAAAAAAATTCATTTTTATCTTAACTTTTGGAGGGCAGTGTATAAAAAGCATCATACTTCTATACCTACCTCTGAAAAACAGTTTAAAAAATTTAAAAACTTTTTAATGTGAAACCATCTTATATTTGACGTTACTCGCATTAGACTCTTCCAGCTTTATATAAACCTACTTAGCGCACTGTGTATTATTTAAGAAATTTTAAATAATGAGTTTGTTCTAATCTCTGTAAACCTAGCCTTTTTAATGTTAAGGTACGGTTTCGAGTATTTTATTGCAAAGAAATACTGACATGAAAAGCATCTTTAACAGTCTCTTTAGTAATTTTTTTGTCATCTTTAGTAGTTTTGGGTCATTACATTATGCTGCCATAAACCATGCAACTTGGTTTTGCAATTACATGGGACATAAAAACTCTATACCTTCATTGCAGCCTATCAGTTAGTATGTGGAGGCACCAAGGAGAATGAATGTTGCCAGCTTACATTCATCATTGTCATAGAGGTCCAGCACATGAGGTACCATTGGGTCAACATATGCATTACTTGTTTGCATAGACAGTAATATAGAGAGCCACCATTGCATTATCTTCCTCGATACAGAGGGTGTTCAACTGTTTCCCTGCCCAACACATTCTTTCAAATCTCCCACCCATTGAGAACATCTGGTCATGGGTTGCTGAGAGGCCTGCATGGCACCGGCAGCCACTAGCTTAATAACTTTGGCATACAGTTAAACTAACTGAATAAACTTTGGCATACAGTTAAAATCGCTTGGAATGATGTACCTGTGTGTGTCATCTAAACTCAGTTAAACTCAATGCCCAGCTGGATTATAGCCACTTTTGTTGCCAAATAAAGCAGCTCTATGTACTGATTTTATATGCTGTGTATCCTAAGCTACTAGAACTGCAAAGTTAATCATCTCTCCCTCTCATTATACTTTTATATGTACAATAAATTGGATTTTCTTTCCTTCCTTATGTAGCACATAAAATAAAATAAAAATTGTAACTTTAACAAAACAGTACCAATGTGTAAGATTAAGAAATTATAACTGTATTAAAATTAATACTTATTTATTGAAAAAAATGTAAAGCCTGCTTTATGTTTTATTTTTTTAATTTGCTTTATTATTATTTTTTTTTTTAATTTAACCACTTGTTTAACATTCTGAGCCACATTTCAGATCCACTCATGGAAAGCATTTATTAGCTGTATTAGCATAATTATTTGTTTTAGTCTTTGCTTTCATAACCTTTCATTTATTAGTGTTTTCTTCCAGTCTGAGCTTGAAATAGACTCAGTTTTAGTGTGTAATGATCAGTTGAAAATCTCAACAGTTTCTGCTTGCTCTGGCTTTTTTTTGGGGGGGGGAGAGGGAGAAGGATACTTTAATGGTATCATTTCTGCAGAATAGTAAGGATTCTGTAATTTAACTAAAAATGGTGCTTTGGCATCATCAGTTTTTAAAGCATTGATAATTAGAAGTTGTTTCCCTTCATTTATTAATATGTCTGCTAGCATTATTTGTTTGTTATGTTAATGTAACAAACAAATGACTGAACTGACTGATTCTAAAATGCCTGAACAGTAAATGATTATAAATGCATATATAACTAATTCATTTTTATTTTAGTCAAATAGTATCGTTTATTTTTATGTTTGAATTTTGTTTGTAGTATACAATTTGAAAAACAAATTTAAGGTGAAAGACCTTTCTGAATATTTTATCTTTTTTAAATTAGTTCCTGTGACAGACCAAAGAAAATTGAAAGTCTTTGCGGAAAAGAAATTGTTGATGTTGCCTGTGGAGGAGCTCACAGCGCATGCATTACATCTGCGGGTGAATTGTATACTTGGGGAAAAGGACGATATGGACGATTAGGACATGGAGATAGTGAAGATCAGTTGAAACCTAAACGTGTAAGTGTAGCTGCATTATTTAGTAAACATGTTTAGGCAGTCATTTTCCATTTGTCCATGTATTCGCATTCGGTGTCTAATGTTACAGATTATTGGGCATCAAAAGAACATGGAAAATAAAAAAGTTCCTAACTTTGAGGTAATTTAATATGTATAAAATGTTTTAACCTTTAGGCAAACAATTGTGAAGGTGAATAGTTATATTCTTTACACATTTAAAAATGTAAATTATATACAAAAGCTCCAAAAAAAGGCACTTACCTTAAGTGGAGCAGTTGTAGGTATCTGTTAGATAAACATTAACAATTTGCTTGTAGATTTAAAACTGTCATATTATATATCTCTATTATTAAATAATGAAGAATCTGTAGGTATGTATGTAAGCATGTGTGTTCTTTGCATTGTGGGAAAAGGATGGCACCTATATCCACCATATTTTGAGCATATGTGATGCTTCATTTAAGCTTGTATACATGGAAGCCCAACTTTTGAATTCCAGATTTTCTTTATTACTTCACGTTTGTGCAAATTTAATGACCTCTTTTATTAATAAACTCGAGAGATTTAAAGAAATGTGTTGCCACCTAGCAAAGTGTAAGATATTTGTCTTTCAAATTTAATCAGAAAGTTTAATGATTTGAAAGAAATATGTTGTATGAAATAAAGTATTTTTATGTTCCATGTACAATTTTATCTTCCATGCAGCACTTTTTCATTTGGCAAAGTACAAGATATTTAATTTTTCTTTCAAATTTAATCTCTTATTAATGAACAAACTGAATGATTTAAAAGCAAAAATAGAGTTATTCAACTCTGTTATTATTAATTACTAGTTGTAGAGACATTAGTATTTTTTTTGAAAGCAGGCAAGAGAAAAAATGATTAATTGCCTTCGCCGGGAATCAAACCACGGACCTGTGGATACCGGCCCAGCGTGCAGAACCACTACACGACAAAGGCACGCTAGGAAAGCAGGAGAAGTACCTTATATACTCCCCTTTTTAAAGAGCAATTGGGGTTTTAGGGGACCTAATCACCAAATCCTGGGTGTGGAGAATCCTCATCTAGCACCCTTTTAGTTCGGGTGCCACTGTAGAGACATTAGGATTTTTTTGGAAGCAGGCAAGATAAAAATTAGCAGTCGCCTTCACCGGGAGTCGAACCACGGACCTCTAGATACCGGCCCGGTGTGCAGAACCACTATACCATGAAGACACGCTAGGAAAATGGGAGAAATACCTTATAAACTCATTAAAATCATTATATATCCCCCTTTTTATATAATAACTGTTTCAAGAGGTTGGTCTCACAAGCCACTAGAAATTTTTAGTTTGTGTTTATCTTTGTAAAGCCTCATTATTGTGGATAAGAATGCGCCTTCTCTCTATTTTAGATTTAGGATAGGTATGCATGTACTATTTGTAATTTTTACTGCACTATATCAGATAAAGAAGGAGGGAGGATATTTTTTCTAGATATTTCTTTCCTCTTTCTCCATCAGAGAAATGTTTTTAAGGATTTTAACCATATGGAAAGTATTTTTACATTCTGGTATGTTTTACAGTGTGCTAAATAGCATCATTTTATATTGAATGGTGCCTATAAAACTGCCATTTTGTGACACACCACATATGGAAGTAACCGCAATATTATATTAGTGGAAATGTTTGTGATTTTTATGTATTTAATTATTTTGGGCAAAGGAAGATGCAAATTTTGTAGTTGGAGTTTTGCTGAGCCAAATGAACACCTCCCCTCCTTAAAATCAAAGTAAAGTACAAATTGAATAATGCAAAATAATTATTTTCAAGTTTTATACAGATACAGTTTTTTAAACTACTCTTTTGAAATAATCTTTTCTTGAATTCACCTTCAAATCAGATGTGTGTTTATTTTCATAATTTCATATTTCCATATAAAAAGTTGACACTTCATGGTGACACCTTACAGCAGTGACATCTGCATAAACTTGAATAATTTTAAAATGCAGGAGAAACATCAAGTTCTCCTAGAATTGTGCAAAACAAAGTGACTTATGCATCATTTTCAGTAAATATCATCCATCCTGTACAGTTTTTTTTGGATATTTATAAAATTGCTGAAATACACATTTTGGAAAAAAAAAATGAAGCTAAAGCTGATTTCTGTCCATTAAGCAGTCTTTTGGTAGAAATGATGCCACTTCAGTTTCAATTTCATTGATAAACTTGCACTTGTTTTCTTCTATTTTAGTATGACTGGTGAATGTAAATGCCATTGTTGTTGAGTATGAATATCTTCAGTACTTTCTTTCTTAAAATTTCATTGAACAAATAAATTAATCACCTTCAGTTCTCCATATTTTGACAGGTATAAAAGCTGTAGATTCATAGCTTATGTTATTTTTTCTTAATTTTTTCATTAAGAATAATTGTGTTTTTCTAGTAAATTACTTTCCTTTCACACATACAGATACTAAAACATTGTGACATAACCTGAGAGGAAATCTCATTAAATCTTACCCATTGTATCTTAGTTTCTTCAGCAAGTCTATTTCTAGTGGGGAAAAAAAAAAATATATTTACATGTGTGAAATCTGAGCTCTGTGATGTGGTTCGAAAGAAGTTTCCATAAATTTTATAACAAAGCAAATCTACGATTAATAGTTTCCATATTATGGAATGATGTTCTCTGAGAGATCTTTTACCCTCACTACTGCATTTTAATGAGCTTACAATGTGCATGTATCTAATTTTGATCTGTAATCAATGCATAGTTTTACTTTTATTGATTTGATTTTGGCACTTGTGTTTCTGCAGTCAAGAATGCAGGGTTTGATATTTTTTAAACTAAGATGATCAACAGTATCAGTAATAATAATATTCACCCCTCTTTATCCTCGACATTTTTCACATCAGTGTGGTATGCTATTGATTACATTACTTATTATTGACTGCAGAGGGATGCCTAAAGTGTGGAAGATGTCAAGTTAATATTTTGATTGGAGATGGTAATGAACATAAAAATTTTAACAACACTACAATGTGTTTCATATATATTTGATAAGATTCAAGTTAGGTATCTCAGTGAGAGAAGCAATATTTACTACCACAGTTCTGCAGCTTTAGGAATACATTCTGCTCAATGATATCTATGATTTATTGTTCATAAAACAGTAACTTCAGTTAATGTGCAGTGAGACATCTTTTCTATACGTCATATTAATTTTCTTATGTTAACTTTTTTTAATAATTGTCATTGCATGTTTATTCTTAAGATTTCTATTGCATCATCACTTTGACTAGCATCATTTCTGTGCTTGGATTATCTTTGGTTTAAAATAGTTGTAATCCTTTAGAGACAGGTATTAAGAATTCATATTTAAAAATCTCAAATTTTTTTATGTGTCTATGCACATGACACTTTGTCTACAATAGCCCTTAGCTTGCCTGTCTTTTTGCAACAGTTTATCATGCACTTATACTTTCAGGTACAAGTATGTTTAAATGATGCAAATATTCATGTTTTGGCATTTCTAAATTTCAAAAAGTCAATTTTTAAAAAATTACAAAACTTTTTATACATTCCCTTTATACTTCATACTTATAGCTTTTATACATTACATTGTTTTTCTCAGTAACTAAAATAAAATACCAGTTTGGAAGACAGTTTCTGATGTTAATAAATCAAGGCAATGGTCCCAAACTTATTGCACACAGGCTGAATGCATGATTTGAAAATAGTTGATGGGCCTTTTTTTTCCTAACAAAATGGAAAAATTTTACCAACAAAATAATATTAATTTAAATAAATTTTGCTTAATATCTATAAAGACATACAAAAACAACAATATTAATATCACAAAGGGAAAATATTCAAAATTATTTTTTATATGTCTCAAGTTTGTAACCTTTAAGAAATATTTGTTGGTTACACTTTGTAATTCAGATATATTGGCAGCTAAATATTAAATTCGTAGACTGATATTTCTTTCAAGTGATTACAACATGTTTAATCATTAAATAACTTGCTTTAATTTAAGCTAAAAACAAACAAATTATAAAAACTTTTGAAATTTTCAAGAGAAAATTTGCCAGATGGGACAAAACTTTACAGTAAATGATAACCTTTTCTCTTATTTATTAAATTTCTCTTTAATGTATAAATAAAAATAACGTTATGTAAATAGTCATAGATTTCTTTCTTTCTTGCAACACAATTAATGGTGTTTTGATTCTGATAAAGTCTATAGCCTTTGAGAGAAATGGCTAGAAATTATCTTCTTTATGGATCATAGATGTTCGTGAGTCAATTGGATTCTTTTCTTTGTTAATTTGCAAAGAAAAAAAAGGTGTTTAGATATAAATGCATTCCCAAACAAAGCAATTATTCTTATCGCAAAAATTCATAACTCAGCCTATTCATTTTTTAATAAATATGAATGAAATTTAAAAAAATCTTTATCATCAAATCTTTGAATAAAAGTTATAGATCATACTATAAATTCATTAATTCCATTTGCAGATTTTCTGATGCAATATTCATATTCATTTTTAATGGAAATGAAAATACTTTAGACTCGGACTTTGCATAGCGAAAATTTTGAAATCTTTGCTAAACCATATTTGCAACACATACATTATTGAAATGTCTTTGCACGCTCTGTGAAATTACCTTGAGTGCTGCATGCACCACTAGATTAAGAGATAGGCATTTCTTTGCAAACTGTCCTGAAAAGTGTTGATTGGTATAATTTTTTTAATAAAAAGAGGTCGAATATGATTTTAATAACAATTAGGGGAGGAATTACCTAAAATTATTCTTATATATCTATTAGTTGATCCCTTGAAGCAATTTGGAAATGACATCAAATATCCCAAATTATGAAATTAAATATGCCAGTAATTTTTTATTAGAGGAGGGTCAAATGTTTTATATTTCATTTTCTATAGTGAGTGTAAAATTTTTCTAAATATAACTATCAGGATTGAATCATCATATAAAAAGTTAAGTTTCATAATTTTTATAAAATTTTTAAATGACAAAACTTGAATATTGCATCATTTAAATCACTTTTGTAATTGAAAGTATATGTATGTGACATACAGTTGTAAAAATAAAGGCAAGGAAAAGAATTTTCATGGACACAATGTGTGTGCATATATATATATATATATATATATAGACACATACGTGGTTTTCTTAATCTGATTACTGCCTATAATTGATATTTTTGTATGCTGTTTCAGATTAACCAGCCGTTTGTTTATTTGCCCTAACAGAGGCTTCTTCATCAAGAATCTGCTATGTAATTATTTGGTTAAGATTTAGCTTGGTGCATGTATTCGTAGCTTATTAATACATCCGAGGACATCTTCAAATGTATGCAAAATTGTCTTTGAGATCAACTTTCTGCAAACTCTTGCCACTAAAAATACAGTCTTGGAACAAAGAATTCAAAGAAGTTTCATCTCAGAATTATGAGAAACTTCGTTAAGTTTCAAAATCTGTCATTTCCAGTTTTTAGCAGGATGTGAGTGCATGCTCTGTTTCATAAGTATAATAAAATAGTTATGTGGATAGAATGGTTATGCAGATTTATATTGCATCTACAAATATTTTTTCTTTTAACGCTGTGGTGAAGTTCTTATAAAAGTCAGTGCAATGAAAACCCATCAAGTGTGTCACTGAGTGAATCATGACGCATTTCAACATTAACCAAAGTAACCATAGATATGACTGTGTCTCTCACACAGCTTATACTAAACTTTTCATTGAATAATTCTTATTGTGTTTGATATTTTATTATTAAACTGAAAATATGTTTTAGTTTTTATATCTGTATAGTAAAGCAGATTTTAAAGTTGTGCTCTCTTAAAATTGTGTTTTTAATTTTAAAGATTTTGAAGTTGTGTTGTCTTGATGGAGGGGAAAAAATATTATTTTGTAATTTCAGCTTTTATTCAAAATATTAACTTAATATTTTTTTTAGACTTGTATTTAATTTCTAAAGTTTTCTAATAAATTTCAGCCATGCAAGATTTACTTCTACAACTGCTAAAATTTCAAAGAGGGAGGTCCTATTTGTTGTAATACTGCATATTTGTTTTAACACTTTCAAAATGCCTTACTAGAAAAAGACATTTTCCTGCTTATGCTTCCAAAAGTGCCTCTGCTAGTTTGAATAAGGGGTGTTTTCATCACAATGTGCTACTTTAATTGCTTGAGCATTTTTTTAGATTCACTTGTTTAACTCTTTAAATGGTAGCTCAGTGAATTTCAGTCTGCAATGGTAAGAAAACACAAGAAAATCCTGTCTGAAAAATATTGTTGCCCAATTCAAATGTAGTTACCTTAATTTCCGGAAGAAACGCTGTGGCGTTTACGTGTTTAAAACTTAAATTTTCAGCGGGTGCAGCGTTTCTACCCATGCGGCGTTTAGGTGCACTAAAAATAAAATATTTCCTATGATGGTCATTGTACATAGTTTGGATGACCTTATCATTGACATAGACTGGTGCTGTTCCCACACAAAAGACCACTCAGTAGCTTTTTGAGAACGTTATTTTGTTAACATTCTTCCATTGAACGGACCTACATGCCTTATTCACCCTAAACGGGATCTCAGAACAATAACATTCTTCCCCCTTTCAAATCAACATTCTCATCAGTTTGAATAGTCTCTCTCCTCTGCCATTCAATGAATCTTCCAGGACCCATCCTCTCCCCACCCCTGCCATTTCTGCAATTTTTTTCAAAGGCGGACATGACTCCGCCTGCCTCGCAATAACAAACTCTGACATATTTCCCCTTCAGCATGAATTGATTTTTCTTGGCATTCTGCCAGATACAGATCCCATCAGTTTGCGTACAAAGTACTTGTTGGATAGTTTTTAAGTAAGAAGGGAGTGGAAAATTTTTTAAAATGGCACCTAAACGGCACAAGAGCTATACTGCTGGTTTTAAGCTTAATGTAATTTCACGCGCTGAACAAATTGGAAATCGAGCAGCAGCTCAAGAGTTTGAAGTGAACGAGAGAGATATTCGACATTGGAGAACTGAAAAATTACTATTAAAAATATGCCACAACAGAAACGAGCCAAAAGAAGTGGTACTGTAAGGTGGCCGAATATAGAGGATGGAGCAACGAGGAAAGGGAATGGCAATTTTGACTGTAAAAATTCACTTACAAACAAAATTTATAGCAAAACAATGAATGAAAAAATGATTTCAAAGAAGGGCCTTGCTGGTGTAGAAGATGTATGAAAAGAAAAATATTTCTGCATGTACTAGAACAGTCGGGCAACAATTACCAATGGAGTGGCAGTATAAAAAGGCATCTTTTCGAAAATATGTGACAGATATTATTGACAAAAAAAAACTTCTTCGGTCACAGATAATAAACATGGATGAAAAGCCGTTAGCTTTCGACTCTCCTGCAAACTGAACTGTTGATGAAGCTGGTGCAAAAACTGTATCTGTGCTTACGACGGAGCATGAAAAAACGTCATTTACATGTGTGTTAGCTTGTGCTGCAAACGATGACAAGCTAAAGCAGCTGATCATTTTTAAATAAAAGTCTATTCCGAAGGGAGATTTTCCTAATGACATAATTATTTGTGCAAACAAGAATGGCTGGATGTGTGAAGCAATCATGCATGAGTGGCTACAAAAAGTTTGGCAGTGTCATAAGGGATCTTTTTTCCAACCAAAAGGGTTATTGATAATGGATTCCATGTGTGCTCATTTACTTCAGTGAAAACCAGATGTAAAAAATTGTCTACGACCGTAGCAATAATTCCTGGTGGTTTGACAAAAATCTTACAACCATTAGATTTGTCAGGTGATAAATCCTTCAAAGCTGAAGTCCGAAAGCGGTGGGAGTGGTTGATGAGTGAAGGATTGCATACGTATACCAAAAGCAATAAAATACGTAGAGTATCTTATGAAGAAGTTGCAAAGTGGGTAGGAAGCGTGTCTAAATCAGTAAAAACATCGTCAATAATAGCAGGGTTCAAAGAAGCTGAAATTATATCCTTAGATAAAGAGACTGTAAACCAAGAGGATGAATGTGACAATCTGGAAGACTTGGACTTAGATCAGGATTTATTAAATCTTTTTAATTCAGATAGTGAAGAATCAGATTTTGATGGCTTCATATGATGTATAGTTTGCTGTAATTCCTTTTGTAAGTAAAATTTAAATTTCCTTTGGTCATCCAAACTTAATATTTCATTGTTGCAACATATTTTATAATATAGTCTGAGTATTACAAATATGGACTTCTTTAGTGGGTAAATATAAGTATACATGTGAATGAAAATAATATTTTCAACATTTCTTACCTTTATTTTTGAGTTATGGTTTCATTTCATGAATTTTTCTTAACTGATATGTCATATATCAGGACTTAGGTTGAGATTTTGCATCTATATGGCCCACGACGAAGTCACACGCAATTTAATCTGTTGCAGCATTTCTTCTTTTATAGTGTTAAATGCCTTTATGGGGAGAAGGAAAATATGGTTTACAGTGAAACCTGGAGGTATTTACTTCTAGCACTCAGGCTATGTTAGGCATTTGAGAGCACTGAATAATGTATTTCTAATACTGATTTAATTTGGACGAATCAGGGAGAAGGTTAAAATATTAGGGCATGTACTGTTGATCATATGTATTGCTTTGATGGCTGGATGATTTTATTGTAAATTGTTTAAATGTATTTTAAATTGATATGCATGTAATAAATATGTGTTCTATTTTTATAGGTTGAACTGCTGATTAATTACAATGTCATTGATGTTGCTTGTGGTTCAGGAGATGCTCAGACATTGTGCATTACAGACAATGATTGTGTTTGGTCTTGGGGTGATGGAGATTATGGTAAACTTGGGAGAGGTGGTAGTGATGGCTGTAAAATTCCTGTGAAAATTGATGCTCTTACTGGTATGGGTGTTATAAAAGTTGAATGTGGATCTCAGTTTTCAGTTGCATTGACTAAATCTGGAAGTGTCTACACATGGTAAGAAAAATAATAACTTTTAATTTTTTTTTTTTTTTTTTTTTGAGCTGCTGCATGTTAAATGCATTTTAGAATTTTAGAATGCCAAAATTAGCTTGTGAATATTAGGAATTGATAACATATTTGTGTAGATTTTTTTTAATTGTAATTTGTATTTGTATATCATTACCATGAAACAAATCTTCAGTAGTATTCTCTTTTAATCTTTACAGTATTTTAATTTTCTTTTCAAAGCTGAACATTCTATTGCACAGCTATCGTATTTGTTTTTAACTTAGCTTTTTATTATATGTACTGTTGCTTAGGGGTAAAGGTGATTATCATCGCCTGGGTCATGGTACTGATGATCATGTTCGAAAACCTCGAAAAATATCAGCCCTGCACAACAAAAAAGTTACATCCATTGCTGTTGGGTCTTTACATTGCGTTGTATGCATAGATACTGGTTAGTATTAATAACTATTATGTAATTATTTTGTTCCATAATTTGTAGCATTTGGTTTACTACTTCTGTTTATATATGTTATGCTTGTATAAGTTTTGGGCTTGGATTTGAATTCATATGTATGTTTTGGGCATGTAATTTGAATATATTTGAACTCCTCTGTAGGCTGCAAGTATCTGGCTAATGTTATATGGCATTACTAACAAGGTCTTCAATCCACCTGCTGCCACAAATTTTTTCTTGCTCTTAATTTTTCTATTATATTATTCTGAAGAGGAAAATATTATTCATGAAAAGTATTTTTGAGGAAAATAAAGTTAAAAAGAACCACAAAATTTCATCAGACAGTGGTTTTTCATTTATTTTGTAGTAATTTATTGTACTTTTCCGCATATTTAATGTATGGTTGATATGTGATGTTTATCATAATAGCAATAAAATGTAAAATAATGGCATTAGACACAATGAGTAAATGATGATTTATCACAATCCACAAAATTCATCACAATAACATTTCCTAAGAGTTTCAAAGGAAAATCTTTCCTTTAATTTTTAAGAAAATAAATCCCATTTATCATCTGCAAAGTTTTATGGAGACAGATTTTCCTGCATCGTATTTTGTATTTTACAAGCATGTGCTTAAACTTCCAGATGAATCATTATTTATTGTGAACCCAATACAGTTATTTTATATTTTGAATGCCTATTTATGATAAATATCATCTATCAACTGTAATTAAATTTTAAACAAATACAGTTAGTTAGGACAAAACAATTGAAATATTTCTCTCTATTTGAATATTTTGTAATACATCATTTTTATCTTGTTCTGTTAAAAGTATTTTCATTAATAATTTATTCAAAATAAAATATATTAAAAGAGCTAATGATACCGATTTAAATAAAAATTGTTTTTGGAAACTAGATCCAATCTGCCACCTTTTTGTCTGTAGTGCTGTATGTTAGCAACCAAGATGTCAGCATTTGCAGCAGGAGAAGAAATTTAAAATTGCACAAACATTACCTATGCCTGCAGGTTTCACTTTCTGTCTTATTTTTCAGAGGCAAGCAATCTCCCTTCACATATATATGAACTTTAATGTGTACTATATGCAGAATTTAGACCAAATAGCTGATCCTAAGATCATACCTTCCTCTTTCAAGTTTAGTCTAAGAATTGCAAACTGACCTTCGGTTTATAAATGTGCGCAATATATAGAAATATATTGTATATAATATAGAAATAGATTGTATATAATATACATAGGTTTTTTTTTTTTTTTCAACCTCCGATCGCACAGTATGATGGCCAGATATGCGGTAGATGGTTGGTGTGCGTAGTGGGCGACTGAGCATCTCCCCCTCCACACGCTCTGTCACTGGCGTATTCAACACGCCATTTTCTGTTGAGTTGCAGTCACGTAAACATGGCTGTCGCTATTGATTCTTCCACCAAGTGTGAATTGGGAGCTGTTATTCGTTTCTTGCAGGCAGAAGGGAACAGTGCAGCGGAAATCCATCGAAGAATAAGTCGAGTGTATGGAAACAGCTTTGTGAGTGATGGCGTTGTTCGTGAATGGTGTGGAAAGTTTAAAGATGGCCGAACTGATGTGCATGATGAAGGTGGTCAAAAACGCAAGTCTGTCGCTACAGATGACATTGTTGAACGAGTTGAGCAAGTTGTTAAGCAAAGTTGAAGGTTCACCATACCATAAGTGAATTATCGATGAAATTTCCGGAAGTTTCAATATCTTCCCTGTACTTTATCGTTGCTGAACAGTTGCGCTACAGAAACGTTTGTGCTCACTGGGTCCCACAGATGTTGACTGACGACCACAAAACTCGCCAAATGGTTGCAGCGCTTGAGTTTCTTGACTGTTACAATACTGACGGAGAAGGGTTTTTTGAAATCCATTGTGACAGGTGATGAGACATGGTTCAATATGACACGCCCTAAACAAAATGACAATCACAACTATGGATGCACACAAATTCTCCAAAGAGATCCACAAAATTCAAACGAACCTTTAACAACCGTAAGGTTATGGCAACTGTTTTTTTGCACCGAAAAAGTGTGTTGCTTCTGTATTTTATGCAGCCTGGAACAACAATTAATGCAGATTCATACTGTGAAACTTTGTGACGCTTACGGAGAGCTATTCAAAACAAACAAAGAGGCATGCTGACTTCTGAAATTGTTCTGATCTACGACAATGCCTGTCGTCACAGCGCTCGTGTAACCCAACGGCTCCTTCAGCAATTTTCAATGGAACATTTTGGACATCCACCATATAGTCCCGACCTAGTGCCGAGTGACTTTCATCTGTTTCCTGAACTGAAGAAGTGGCTTGGCGGGAAGCGCTTCCAAGATGACGTGGAGCTGAAAGAAACCGCCACAACTCACTTCCAATCATTGGCGGGGACATTTTATGAAGAGGGTATTGTAAAGCTTGTTCACAGATATGACAAATGCCTCAGTCATCAAGGTGATTATGTAGAGAAATAACCTATATTGTACATTACTTTTGGTAATAAAATCTTTTTTGTATATTCACCCGTCTTTTCTTTATAGCCCATCGGAGGTTGGAAAAAAAAATAGCCCTCGTAGAAACCTTAAACCCGTTTTTCTAAACTTTGTTTCTCATTAGCATATGTGCATATGTATATGTAAAATTAATAAGAATACTAATATTTAATATGTAGAATTAGCAGGTAATCAATCACTTTTAATTAAGTTTGTATGTGTGGGCATGTTTAGTGTACGTGCAGAATGTTTAATACAGTACAAAGTCCAAGATCCAGACTCGTTGGTACTTCCGCGATTCCGGAATTCGGAATTTTCTGGATATTAAATCATCAGTTTAAATCTAGTAAGATGACATGTAGAAATTTAAAAAATTAAAAATATGATTTATAAAATAATGAATCATTTATGATATCAAGGGTGTCAAAATTTACACACACAAAAAAAAAAGCTTAATATTTATTTGTTTACTTTAGTAAACATTTAAAGTTGTTTTGTTTTTTGTGCTAATACTTTCTCTTTAATTCTGTAGACAGATATAATTTCCTGTTTAGTTACATTGATGAAGTCCTGTAATTGCTGTGTCGAGAATACCGACTAACTTGTCAATCGAAATTTTTTTGTTTTCAGTAACTTCTGTGTCACTTTCTTCATTATCGGTAGCGATGTTTTCTGAATCTAGAATCATACTACAGATTTTGCCATCCATTAATTTATTAATGATTGAGGAGCATTGTCATCACGATGAAAATCTTCTTTTATATCATCTTCATTTATTACCGCTTCTCCACATTTCTTTACAAAATCCGTTAATTGGAAAATTTCACCTTTGGTTTGTGATATCTGAAAACCTTTAAAATTTGCGGCTATCATCATAAAATTTAGCTATCATTCACTATACATATTTGGCTATGTATCATGAGCCTGGCAACTAACGACAAGTTGTTCTACTAAGTTTTATCTCGCTGCTATCACGCACTGAGACAATTAAGCCTGAATCGTATTAGTTTAGTTATTTATTATACTTATGTCTGTTTCTTGCACATGTTTAAGGCTTATCGGAGTCCTGTATAAATAAATTTCCACGTATACTTATTGAGGGTACCTTACCGCCTGATGCATTCTCTGTGGGTCCTAAATTCTGCTACCAAGCACCTCCCTTTCTCTTCCCTAAATTCTGCTGCCCGGTGCAGCCATACAAGCCTTGGCGCTGGTTGTGGGTTTATGTGAATAACAAATTCGTTATTCAAATAGCACTAAATGTAATCTTTTGTCCTATGAGTACCATTAAAAAAAATCTATTTTTAGCATATGGAAATAAATTTTTCCTCATCAACATTTCTTAGAGCATTTAACTTAAATCTGTAATCATCGCCAAGCATATTCTCAACTTAAAAGGTTACCATACTCTTTATAATTCAATTACTAACGTAAAAAAATTGTTTAGGCATCGCCACATGTTGTCATGTGTTGATAAATATGCGGTGATGAAAGCAAATCAGTAAAGAATAATGATTCGCCTGGTTGGGAGTCAGTGATATAAAATATTAGTAAATGTAAAATCAACGATGTATGTATGTAGAATGTTATGGTTTGAGATGTATGCCAAGCAGATATGCAGCAATTGAGCCAAATTATTGATCATACAAATTTATGCTAAAATGTGTCTTCAATAACGAGATATTTTATGTAGTGCCGAAGTGAAATTAAGAATCGGGACTCTCAACATGTTTTATTGTGCAGGGAGGGGGAAATCAAATGTGCATGTGTAAAGCATACAAAAAAAAACTTTAAAAAGGTTTGTGATGGCTTTGAGGTCTGGATTTTAGATCATTCCGGATATTGGAGGTCTGGATCTCAGACTTTGTACTGTATATACTCAAGAACATTGAAAGTCACATATCAAGAAGGAAGAAAGGTACAATCTCAAAATTTGGCGGATAAGTTCAGTGAGATCCAATATACAAATGATCTAAGTTTGGTGCCAGTGTGTATGACCACATACCCTGCAGTGGCACTGCAGTCAGCAAGTGGGCCCTAACAAACTGTCATAGATGAAGATTCATAAAGTGATGATCGCATTCCAGTTCTAGGAGGACTTAACATGTTTGCTGCCAACCACGAGTTATCTCATAGGTCAAAGTTTGTGTTAAGGTGCCAGCTACAATTATTCATAGAACATTTTTGTTTTACCTACACCACACCCTGATCAAACTCATAGTATTTTCATGTTCTTTGAAGATATTTCGCTTTGTTATTAGAAAAAATACAACAATTTGGCTCAATTCAAGAGATTTATTATAATTAATATAACTATATTATAAGTAATTATAAAGTAAATAACATAACCATAAAAATAATCAAGCAATTTATAATAATCTTTGTTACAATGATTGTGTGTAAAAATAATTAATCTTTGATATAAGCAACCACCAACTATGAATATACTCGTAGTTGGCACTGTCATAAAATATTTTATCACAAAAACTTACTAGAATATATCTTGTTTAATTAATAAAGGAATTAAAATTATCTAAATTCAATATCTTTCCCATAAATACATGTTTTGTATTATTATTTTATAATTAATTAATTCAGATTTGTTCCCGTGGTGGAACCATTTTTGAAAATGTTGCTCGGCAGCAAATGTGTTAAGTAAGTGAAGAATGCCAGGTAGATGTGTGAGAAAACATTTCTCACAGTTAAGCGAGTTTGAGATGGTCCTGATCAATGGCATAAAAACCACAGGCTTGGTTGATGTGCAATGTTGCTCGCCAGTTTGATCATTCAGAGTGTGCCATTAGAACATGTTGAGAGCAGTGGACAGGAGATGATACCCACATGGAAAGAATGAGATCTGGTGTGATCAGGAAGATGACAAGGCAAGAGGATCGAAGGATCATGCAGCAAGGGCTCATGGACCCGCAGTGACTCATTCCACAATACAGTTAGGAGTGTCAGTTGTTCCATAAGCCATTTCCAATTAATTTCCAATTCCTTGCAGAAATGAATCTACCATCCAAGCACCCTTTACATGTGCTGCCTTTAATCTTCGACGCTGTCTATAATGGTGCTAAACCAGAGTGCTGTGGAATGCCATAGATTGGTAAAACGTGCTGTTTAGTCATGAATCCCAATTCGTTTTGGGGACAGTTGAAACTGCATGTGGAGGTGCCATGATGAACAATACAATTCTACCCATGCTGTTGGGTGACATACTGCATGCACAGCAGATGTGTAGTGTGTCATGTCTGGAGGCCATATCCTATGATAACCAGTCCACACTAATTGTGGTAACCTTAATGGGCCAACGTTATGCTGATGATATTCTTTGACGCTACATAGAACCTTTCCTAAATGGTCTTACAGGGGCAATTTTCCAGCAGGGTAATGCTCATCTGCATACAGCTCAAGATTTCCCATGTCATATTCAGATCCTTACATGGCCAGCCCACTCCCTGGACTTATCCCCTATAAGAACATGTATAAGGCCAGCTGAAATGCCAGATGTCACTGTGTCACTCTATACATGATTTGGAGGTAGCTGTTCAAGAAATGTTGGCCCATCTGCCTCGGAATAAATCAGACATTTAATCAACTCAGTGCCAGACCATGTTGTGGTGTGAATTGCTGCAGGAGGTGGTCCAACACACTGTTGAAGTTGCTCTGTATTTGTCTAATTCTATACAGTTGTTTAATTGTCTTGATTTTGAGGTCAAATTCTGTATCATTATGTGTATTAAATTTCATTTCAATCCTATGCTTCCTTCTTTGTGCACTATTTTCAAAGTTCTTCAGTGTATATAGCAAGAAAACTAAAATATCTTTGTGGGAAGGAGGACATGCTTGATATGCCAATGACTTATGACTGAATGTAGGTGGGCTGTTTCCCTTTCATTTACCTGATATGAATAAAGAATGAGCAGTATTTCAATCAACAACATTATTTCTAATTTAACTTTCCGCTCCATATTTCTTTTTTTTTATAATAACCATAGAATTTGTTTTAAAATTGTTGATATTTATTGGTATTAGTGACATAAATTATTTCTCTTTATGAAATGTTTTCAGGAATCTCGCATTACTGATGCGATGCATGTTCTCCTTCGCTTATATTACATGTCTTTTTATGTATTTTCTTTTAGGTGAAGTATACACTTGGGGAGATAATGATGAAGGTCAGCTTGGTGATGGTTCAACTAATGCTATTCAACGTCCAAGATTAGTTCCAGCTCTTACTGGTATATTAGATGTGATTTTTTTCCCTTTTTGTTATTCTGTGCATGACATAAAATTTTGATAATTATTTGGCACTTGATCTTTATTTTTTAGCAATGGAATAGTTATATTTTTGAATGATTTTAATTTCCGGAAGAAACGCCACCCCTGCCTTTTCTGCAATTTAAAAAAATTTGAAAACAAAGGCGGACACGACTCCACCTGCCTCGCAATAACGAACTCGGACGTATTTCCCCTTCAGCATGAATGGATTTTTCTTGGCATTCTGCCAGATACAGATCCCATCAGTTTGGGTACAAGTACTTGTCGGATAGTTTTTAAGAAAGAAGGGAGCATAAAATTTTTGAAAATGTCCCTAAACGGCACAGAAGCTATACTGCTGGTTTTAAGCTTAATGTAATTTCACGTGCTGAACAAATTAGAAATCGAGCAGCAGCTCGAGAGTTTGAAGTGGACGACAGATGTATTCGACGTTGGAGAACTGAAAAAGAACTTCTTAAAAATATGCCACAATAGAAACGAGCCAAAAGAAGTGGTACTGTAAGGTGGCCAAATCTAGAGGACAACATTGCAAACTGGATAAAGGAGCAACGAGGAAAGGGAATGGGGTCAACTTTCGACTGTAAAATATTCGCTAACAAGCAAAATTTATAGGCAAAACAAATTAACATAAATGATTTCAAAGGATGGCCTTGCTGGTGTAGCAGATTTATGAAAAGAAAAAATATTTCTGTGCATACTAGAACAACAATTGGGCAACAATTACCAGTGGAACTGGCAGGATAAAAAGTCATCTTTTCTAAAATCTGTGGCAAATATTATTGACACACACACACACACACACACACACAAACAAAACAAAAATAAAAACAAAAAAACTCTCTTCGCATTGAAGATAATAAATATGGATGAAACGCCGTTAGATTTTTCGACTCTCCTACAAACAGAACTGTTGATGAAACTGGTGCAAAAACTGTATCTCTGTGTTTTACGACGGGGCATGAAAAGAACGTCATTTACATATGTATTAGCTTGTGCCGCAAATCGTGACAAGCTGAAGCCGATGATCATTTTTAAACGAAAGACTATTCCGAAGGGAGATGGTATGTCATATATCAGGAGTTTTAGCATCTATACGGCCCACGATGATGTCACGTGCAATTTAATCTATTGCGGCGTTTCTGTGTAATTTTAATTTTTTCCCAGCAATTTTTCTCAAGTGTGCCGTTTACGCTGATGCGTCATTTCTGTGTAATTTTAATTTTTTCCTCGCCATTTTTCTCGAGTGCGCCGTTCACACTGATGCAGCCTTTCTTCCGGAAATTACGGTAGTACGCAACAGAAATTAATAAAGCATCCAAAAAATAATTGGTAATAACCTTTGTCATAAAGGATAAATAGTGTCTGCAGCAGTCTAAAAATTTACAAATTTTTCAGCATGACTCTTGTAAATGAATTTTGGATAGAGGGCTATATTATGTGCTATCTGAAAGGTTTACATGATAGGTTAGCTATAGAGAAAGCAACATTGTTAAAGGTAGGGTGAATCCAAATAATATAACAATTATACAGTGTTTTATTAAAAAGCAGTCTTTTCCTGTTGTTTATTTCGTCTTTTAAATGGAATGTAGAATATGTAATTTAAATTTTTTTTTTTTTGTAATTTTACATTTTGGTAAGCAGTTACAATTAACCTGTGATAATGGACTTGCATTTTTTTCTCTGTAACCATTGTAATCTAACATTAGCAATTTTTTTTTAAATTCAGGGATTCTTTTTTAATGCGTAGTTTATATATATATTTAGGGAAAAAAATCAACAAAGTTGCTTGTGGCTCTGCTCATACTGTTGCTTGGTCTACATGTAAAACTAGTCATTCTGGAAGATTACCATCTACAGTTCCTCTGGAATATGATCATTTAAGAGACTTCAGCATACCAGTTTTACGTAATCGGTACTGCTTATTGTATCATTTTTCTGAGCTTTTCTGTGCTTCTATACCTATGTTTGATCTTGGAAACGACAATCTCCGTGGTCTTCTGGTGTCTTCTGGAAAAGTAAGTTATTCAACTTTCTCTATCAGATAATTTACCTCCTGTGTATCATTTGTATTCTAATCTCCTATCAGCCTTGGTAAGTTATAGACAGGTATGCAACTGATAATGCAGTCATTCATGTAACTTCTCATTTACACATTTCATCGACCCCTTTCCTGTGGGTCCTTCTTACTACCTTTCTTTTATCTTGTAAAGATAGCTGTTATGTAATCACTGTATGAAGAATGGTCGAAGAAAATACTGTAACATTTGTGTTTCTGGTTTTTCCCCTTGCGCTTCTATATTTCTTTCACGTATTTCCAAATCTTTTCAACAAGACCAGATATCAATCTTCAGCAATTGAACTATCATTCTTTACTCTATCAGAGATAAGTCTTTTTGACCTACAAATTTAATCTTCATTTCACATCTCAGCAATGAGATTCACATCATTAAAAACTGTAAGCTCTTCTCCAAAATGTCAAGTTTAATTTTTTTTTAATGTATTGATCAGATTTTACGAGAAAGATAGCATGGATGACCAGACATTTAATGCATGCATAAAAACATTATGTATCTACTTGCTAATATTAGCACAAATATGTATATTTCTTATTTTTTTACTTTAAATTTAAAATGTATTGCATTTTACAGTTGACTTTTTATGGCTATTAAATTTGATGTGCTGTTTTGGTATGCAGTTTTTATTTAAATTTTCCTCCTAACTATATAAAAACCTTTTTCTGCTTCATGTAGTCACTTCAAATTTCATGTAGTCTTATTCTAAAAATATCTAACATAACTGTTACTGAGTAAAACATGTTTTGCTTGACCTGATACATCATTCAGTTTTATATATTAGCTCTGTGTAGCATTGAACAAAAAAATCAATTAAAACAAAATTATTGGTACAAAAGGCTATTCTATGGCTGGTTGATTAAAAAATGTCTAAACTAAATGCTAGTAATTAATCTTTTTTAATGAAATTCTCTGAATACTGTCCTGGTAATCACTTCTGATATTCAGCCACCTCTGGGAACAATCAATATTTTTGACAGAATAAATAAAACAGTTATCAAATGTCATTGGTAATGCTCTTCATGGTGACTAGCTTCACAGGAAATCAGAATCATTGAAACTGCGGATGATCATCTTAAGATAAGGAAATATCATTGTACAACCATTTTCTATGAAGATACCTGACCTAGAGAGTTTATATTTAATATTTTCAGTTAAAAATATGGAAAAATCTTTTGTGTTAGAGCTGTTGATTACACGCTGGATCACAGTTCTTTATACATTTTAGTATGAGTGCACATGAACTGATCTAGATCATTTGAAATGAATACTTTTAGATAAGATGTCGATTAGCTTATCTATATTTTAGAAACCCTTAAAATGCTGACAGTTTATTAAAATTTTGCTTATACATATTTTCTGAATTCATGAATGAGAAACCCTCAGGCAAAAGCTGTTTAATATAAAGTATGAAATGTTTTCTACAGTGTAGTGTGATGCAGAATTGCATACATACGTATTTACAGAATTCTAACAATTTTCTGTGTTATTTGCTTAATGTATTTGTCAAGTCTGAACTAGCTTACTTAACTGGCTGCCTAGATTTTACTGCTAGGCAGATCTTTAACTATTAGTAGAGAGAAATAATACAAGAAAAAATATAATTGACTAAAAGTATTTGTTAAATGTTACAAGACTTTGTAGAATACATTATTTGATAGCTTTTCCGATTCCTCATATAACCTGTAATATCATGTTTTTATTACCTAAGAAATGAAACTTTTTTTATTAATATTTCTAAAATTATTTTTATAATTGGATTATGAACACAGAAATTTATCATTCTTTAAACATTTCTCCAGAATTTTTTTTTTTTTTTTGTCTGAATGTTTGAAAAGGATGGTATACTTTATGAAACAGATGTGTAGTGCTTATGACTAATAAAAACAAAATAATTTAAACTATTGAAATTAGTCTCATTCTAAGACCACCCCTTTCTTTCCCATAAAAAAACCAAGCAAACACTTTATTGCATTCGATCTTCTTAATCAAAACTATTATTGTTGCCCTTTGAATTAAAAAATTGCCTGAGTAATTGATATATGACCATTTCTTTTTTAAATCAGTTTTAAGCTGTAGAATAATAGTTGGTTAATGTGCAACTTTGTACAACTTGAAATTTATCTTCAGAGAAAATAAAATATCCCTCCATCTCAGCTTTTTTTTTAATAATATTGTCACTTCTTTTTAAAAATTTTGCTAAAGATTTGTTATGGTTTATTGAAAATAATTTAAAAAAATTTTTCCCTGATAGGAAGCTGCTTTTCGTAAAGTTTTGCAAGCTACTATGATAAGAGATAGGCAACATGGACCTGTTATTGAACTAAACAGAATGCAAGTAAGCATTTTTCTAGTTTTTTTTAATTTTCTGAACTAAAAGCTTTTGTTTACTGTTTGTATAAAGAACATATCCAATTCCTTACATGATTTTTATAAAATAGAAAAGTCAATATTTATCATGTAAAATACTACCAAAACTGTATGTAATTGTTTTAGTAAAATAATAGCATATTTAAACATTTCCTTGGGTCTTTTTTATTTTTATTTATTTTTTATTATTTTTTTGGCATTCCTTATCTACCTGTCCTGTCCCTCTTTCCCTAATCGATTTTGGGCTTGTGGTTTCTAATTTGTTATCTGAATAAAATTAAATTCTGCTTTTTTTTTTTTTTTAATAGTGATTACCAGTCATGTCAAATGTTTTGACTTGGCATGTCTACTGATTAACGACGTGATAATAAGCTTATAACATTTTGATGTCTTTAATTTTTTTTCTGTTTTTTCGTTGTACATTCACAATAAAGCAAGAAATACAGAAACAGAAAAATGTAAGCTAATTTTATGCATCATTCACTGTGAGAGTATTTCTCTATCATTCGTCGGTCAATCATTAATTTAGGGTAAAAAGTTAATTATATAAACATATTAAATATAGAAACGTATGCCATGTGATCTGCTAATCTGACTCTAACTTGCAGCAAAGTATTCTAAAGATTATCCATGCTGTTTAACTTGCCAAGAAACTGTATGCAACAAACTGAAAAACTTCTGTTTAAAATATTGACTGAAAATAAAATATTTTGACTTGCATACATTGCACTTCTTTCCTATTTGTTCTACTTTAAAAAAAAATCATCCTTATCAAACATAATTAAAGAATGGAATCAAAGTCATAATGAGAAAATTGGATTCTCAGATTGCTTAGTTAATATTTATTTTTAAAATATGCTCTTTCTATCTTAATTTCATTACTATAACCAAGGAAAGTTTTGATATTGATTCTTATAAAAAAAATTGCAACTCTCATTTATCATGAATTAGTTTTAAACAAGTTCCTTCTTTTTCTTCAGTTTTAATATTTTCTTTTCAGGTAAAAAAATCTAGGTCTAAGGGAGGTTTAGCTGGAAATGATGGAGCTAAATCTGTATTTGGGCAAATGGTATCAAACATGAGCTTAATTTCACAAGAAAGCTTACTTCTTCCTCATCGAGTGTGGAAAGTTAAATTTGTTGGTATGTGTAGCATATTTTGTGAACTTCTTTGGATTATTTTTTCTAATAGAATATATATATATCTGTTATAAGTAAGTATTAATTTTGTATGTTAAAGAATAAACTGGCATATGACTGGCACTGGTTATAACTGGCACTGGGTAAAATGAATCTTAAGATGAGATAAAATATTGTAGACAGAGGTGGGAATTTTTGTCTACTCGTCTATTTATTAGGTGGAATTGGAATGCATGGTTTGATCTAAGTCTATCTCCTTGGTGATTCAAGCTGTTTCATGTTGCTTTCATGGCAAAGTTTGGCAGTGATTTTGGCTCTGTCCCATTCAGTTAGTGAGTCAGGCTCAACTAGCATTAGGTTGTATAAGGAACCTGACACAAATATTATGTTAATGGTTGTACTCTTAAAAATTTAAAAAGAAGTTCTTGTTCTGGTGAGCATATGTAGACATGTGAGAGATGTACTATAGTCAATCAAAAAATTATTTTTTTGCAGGTACAGAGTACACTGGACAATTTCAGGCATTTAAAGTAATTAGAAATTATTAAAATTCAAGCTGTCACGAACTTTTATTTAAATTTTTTTACATAAAGAAGTCAATTTAAAAAATAAAGTATTTCTAAGGAATTCTTCTTTGTGATTGTTTTAAGCTAAGCCTTCTATTCTAGAACTGGAAGGGGAAAGCACTTCTTCATTTCAGCATATTAAGCTCATAACTGTTAAATAGATATGACTCCAAAACTCAAAAGCTGTTTCTGTGCTGTTCTCTTTCTGGTATAGATCTTAATTCTCTTCAGGACAGAAAATGATCATTCAATGCTTGCAGTGTATGCTAATATCACATCTATGAATATGGTCAAAAGACAAATTTTTGGCATTGCTTTTTATGAGTACTGATTGCACTATCATCTTTGTTTACGATGATTTATTTAGAACTTTGTTTAAATGTAGTTCATCCATCTCATATACTTAATCGAAATACCTACTATAATTTTCATGTAAAATTTTCAAATCCACTGCAGAGTAAGTTCATACATGAGACCTCCATTTCAAACAATTAAGAAAGCACAAAAAAGTAACATAAATTTTGTGAGTAAGTACAATGTTTCTCATAATATTGGATTCTTGTGTTGGGGTGTTACTTGATGTCATTGAAAATTTCAAAATGTGATGTAGAATTAGAAGTAACATTCTTTTCATTAATTTTTATCATTTCATATTTTTTATTTAAAAATTGCTTTATGGCTTTGTTAATAAATTTAAGTTGCATATTTTTCCACTTTGTACACAGAATATGAGTTTGATAATGCTTTTGCATAATCTCATGTCATTTATAACTATGAAATCAAGTGATTTTAATTGCAGTTTGATTTGTTTGCTGTCTTGTGATCTTAAATCTGACATTAGGATACTCTTGTTACAGAAATGATGAAAATTTTCTTATGTTTACTTTGTTCCATATTTTTCCATGCATTAATGTTAAAAAATATCCAAAGTGAACTTTTTTTAATGTTTGGAAATTCATGAATTAATGTATTTCATTCCTTAAATTAAAATATCATCTTCAAGTGTTTTAATTGTTCCAAAATTGACCAAATTCTAAGTACTGGTTTTAGCAAGAGAAGTAATGATTACTTGCTTCTTTGAAATACATTGAAATACATATTGATGTAAATGTGTTTACTTTTCATTGAGTAGCTAATTACATGATTCACCTTTTAATCTTAATTTTTAAAAATGTTTGTGAAGTATTAATAAATGTGTTATGTAGATCATAAAATTATTATCCGAATGTGATGTCTTTCATATTCAACTTCATGTTTGTAGGTGAAAGTGTTGATGATTGTGGAGGTGGGTATAGTGAATCAGTTGCAGAAATGTGCGATGAGTTGCAGAATGGCTCCTTGCCACTTCTTATTTTGACTCCTAATGGCCGAGATGATGCTGGAACAAACAAAGACTGCTTTTTACTCAGTCCTTTGGCAAAGTCTAGTTTGCATCTGGATATGTTTAGATTTCTTGGTATGTATGAGTCTTCCTCATATTTTGTCTTCTTTTAACTCCTTTAAGTGCTTGCATATTAAATAAACAAAGCAGCATTTGTTTGGTCAGTGGTTATTTCTTAAAATGTAGCATCTTAGTGGTTATTGCAAATAAATTACAGAATTTTACTTAATTTTCTTTTCTTTTCCTTCTTTTGAAAGGAAAATACCATTTTTTAAGTGGAAGAATTTTTATTCATGTAATTAAGAAAATTTTTAGTTAATAAATATCTGATGAATATTCATTCATTTCAGAATGTGCCAAACGCTAGCAACCCCATGCATAACTATACTTCTTAGAACTGTGCTCATAGCAGGCCTTCAGTTAAGCAACACCGCTTTTTTGTATGATCTCTTTTTGTGATATTCCAAGTTCTAGTGGTTCTTATAAAAAATTTGTAATATTTTAACCTTAGTTTAAAATATGAGCTTGGGAAATTTGGCATCAATGGAAAAATCTGCAGTAAAATTCCTGCAGGAATGCAGAATTTTTTTGAAATGTTTCTAAAGAGAACAATGAGGAAATATGTTTCCTTGGTAGTCACTCTTGCTGAGGTTTGCATGAAGCCGACTCTAAAATTCTGTGATTTTTTTAAAGCGAAAACAGGTTGCAGTGTACTCCGGATAAAAGAATAGCACAAAATAATTACAGAAAGATTTGAAGACTAATGTAAGGGTTTTATTTTTTTAATGTGTCCTCTAATGTTTAATTAATAATTCAAATTTGTATTTCAAATTGCTAAAGTATGTTTTTACTTCATATGTTGATAATGTTTATTGCTTTATGATAAATATTGATAGTTTGGGAATCTTTTTGAAAGCAAAAGCACAAAAACCATGAACTTGCACTCAATAAGTAACTTTTATCTTTTCATCTGTAAAATGTTCCTAAATTATGCCAAGTTGGTTGCATTAATACAGAAGTACCATTTTGGTTTTAGTTCATTTTGATTATGTCAAAGCACACTAGGACTGTCTGTGTAAGGGAAATGATGCCTTTTCAGAAGATTGCCTTGCAGTTGACCCAATGACCAGGATTTGAACCAAAATCAAACTGTCAGTGTTCAGCAGATTTACCAGTCAACCACTAATAGGCACAGAAGCCTTGGATAAAGCTCCTGAATGCAACTTCCTGATGCATCCTCCCACGAATTTTTTTGTTCATAAAAAAAACTGGCATGATCATGCAGTGCTGATAGATTTACAGGACTATCATAAAAAGGTTAACGCTTAAGGCAGGTGACCGAAAATTTTGGCCAGAGAAATTTTTTCCCCTCCCCACCATTTATGGTGCAGAGAAAATCATTGTGCAATAACCTTCCCCTGCCACTTGTCTGATGACCTTTATGCCTCGTAACTATTGGGTTTTGTAAATTCCCTTTCATTTTCCCTCAACAGTGCAATTTTAGCTCGAGGCAAAAACTTTCAGTTGTGTTTTGCATGATTAACTTGCTCTCTAGAATTCTACATAAGTAGCGTAACCATACTGATAAGCATATGCATATGGTATATATACACATGCAAATGAGGTGTGTATACATATACAGCAGAAATGCGAATGTGTAGCATGTGTATATGCTAGTTGTATGCGTGTATGCAATCAGATATATGCATATTATATGCACACGTGAATAAAAGCATAACTGTGTATATATAATACATATATAGACCGAGAGATGTATCCATATATTTATGTGTATGCATATATTTGAAAATCACAGATTTAAACTCAAACTACCAGTGCGCATATATATATATATATATATGCACTGGTAGTTCAGTCCAGGATTCAAGTCTCAGCAAATGGGCTGGCTGCATGGATGTTTTCAAAGTTTTCACTTTGTGCAACTTTCATACGAGCCACTTCCCCATAAAACATCCTTATATATATATATATATATTTTCATTTGGCATAGAAGTTTTATTCAAAAATACAAAGAGATGAAACGTGATAAGATTCCAATTATTGATGATTTTATGGAAAGAGACTAAATTCCTCTTATAAAGTCAGGACTTTCTATGAGATCATCTATAATTACTCTTATATATTTGCTTTCTATATTTCTTTTGTTATAAATATTTGCAAATTCAAAATATGGCAAGAAAGCAAAATGTGAGAAGTGTATTAAATTACAATTTTACAGTATTTTACTAAGATTTAACTTTAAAAAAATCTCTCATTAAGTTGGCATTTACTCTTTATTTCCTATAAGATAATCAAATTAAAATAACTATAATATAGATACATATGTATCCTTTTGCTTCAATGTCTTTCTTGTAAGAAATTGTGCCCGCCCGTATTGATAACAGTCAGATCATACCTTCGGTCACCTTCTGATAAATTATTTTATTTGAAATTGTAATAAATTTATTTTATTGATAAATTATTATTTGTTTTATTGTTATTCTGAACTGTTGCAGTAAAAACAGGAAAACATTTTCATGCACTTTAATATTTAGAACTTAGTAAAGAAAAAATGTGTACATTTACCATGGAATTTTTACATTTAACCATGGACATATCTTAATGAGTGACTTCTTTGTCATATTTTATAATATATTATTATTGTTAATTTGATGCAGAATTTCTTTCTTATACTTGTATAAAATGTTTTCATTAAAAATTCAAACAAAGTTTATCAAACAATTATGTCATTGAGAAAAATTAAAACAACCCTAGACATATTTGTTGCAAGTGGTTAAAAAGGAAGACTCATTTGTGGTAGAGGAGACATGTGCATTGAAGGCATTTGCAACAACTCATCTGGGCTTCAGTTTAAGGTATACACTTTAACGGTTTTAGGGAATGTTGGTTTAGTTCTTCGTTTACCATCTTCAACTAACCTTTTTCTTGAGACTTACATTGATTGTTGGATTCCAGTTCTTGAGGCCACACCACAAATCCTAAGTTCTTATGTTGTGCAATTTTGATAAATTAGAATTATGTTATACAGGAGCTAACTTATTAGTAAAAAAAAAAAAAAAAAACTGGTTTCTGTTATTCCTGACCAAGAAAAGGCTGAAAAACCATTTTTGTGATAATTGTCTGCTTGCCATCAGACTAACCTCTGTTAATGGGATGAAAAGTTTCAGTGAGTTATGGACTAATCAAATACTTGTAATTCAAAAGCACTTGGTGTAAAATTCACCCAGTTTATAGCAGCTTCGTAATTTAGTGTCATATTTTCGAGTTTCTGAAGTGCAAAACTGATTGTCCTACTTAAAGATGTTGAAACTTAGTGAATAAGTTTAAAAAAAAAAAAAAAAAAAAAAAAAAAAACCTTTCATTTCTATCAAAAATAAGCAAATTATGAGATACATGTTGAATAACTCACTACTTCATTTGCAAAGCATAGTACATATATGTAAAGCATTTATAATGGTGCTGGTTATCTGAAATGCTTGATTTTTAGTGATATTTTTTTAGTAATCCAGTTGTTGTATGTACTGCCTTCAATAAATATTATTTTCATTTGCATATTGTTGGCTATGTGAGATGTAGTTGCAATATAGCAGAAACATGTATGTCCAGACCAGCAACATGCACTAAGTGCTGGGTTCGCATAAATTAACTATATAAATTCATAATAATTACATAAATTTACATAACTTCACAAAAATTCATAATTAGCCAAGTTTCCTTAAAAATTTATTGCCTACTAGTGGCTGAGAATAATATTACTGAACGTTGACAATTTAAACTGTGGTCAAACCATAGTGAATTTTTGTGGTTTCCCCCCCCATGTGTAATGTGAATACGAGTTAAGTTTCCCTTAAAAAATCTTCTAGGAAGGCATCCCCTTGCTTAGGCAGATAACCCTTGCATGCTCTGCTGCAGTCTTATTCAGCCTTAAAATTTTAAACAAATCAGTTTCCTTCCATTTTTAACTATCATGCCTGGATGCACATTAAATACTTTATGCTATTTTCAAAGTAATCTTGTGGCTTCAAAAATGTGTATTTCTATTCTCAGAAATTAGTAATATTTTTTGTTATTCACATTACATTTTTTTTTTTTTTTTTTTTTTTTTTTTTTTTAATTTGGATGTCAGTTTTCCAGACATGTAGTTTATGTATGCTGGTTTTCATTATTTATTGAACAATCAGAAAATTAGCAACAATTCATAAATAATAGTACAGTCTTCAACAAATTTGGTCATAAAATCAATAAAAGAATGGTATATCAGTATATCATTTCAAACAAATCTAGGGTTTTGTCATTGATTTAATCCAGAAACAGGACAAAAATAGGTATTTTAGAATGAGGCACTATTTCATGTTCTAATATAAATTTTTAAAAATGTAACTACCATTTTGTAAGAAAAAAGTTTCAGACATCGTTTTCTGAATGAACTAGTAAAATGCCATCAGCCAGCTCGAAGCACAGATAATGTCGGAATGCTGCCATTATGCTGTTTGTTGATAGTTGAATCAGTTTTTAAGCATGTATTCCTGGTTTTGATAATTCAATCTAGGAATCTCAGAATTGAGACTCTGTGTACAAGGTTGATGTGGGCAATTAACTTTATACTAGAGCAGAGCATCTACTTGCACTTAACTTCCATTCTTTGTTATTGTTTGTGTTTATAACAAAGAGAAATTTCAGTACTTTATCAGCTCTCAGTTAGGCTTCTTACTGGAAGTTCTGTACTTTAAACTGCCCACAAGTAATGTATTCTTTACTATGCATTGCAAAAGAAAGTGGTTGAATTGAACCTGCAGTCAAATGAAATAAACCAGTGGGCATTCAGATTTTCTTAAATGAACGTAGATAATGACTGCAGAGATTTTCCAAGTGTTATTTAATATGAAGATGATCAAGCATTCACAATCAGCTTAATAATATTTTTCAATCTTTCTGACAGACATTACATGTTTGTAAAGGAGGCATTCCTTTAGGTTGATTCACAGTCCTCTCGATTCTGACATATGAAGGCTTCGCGCTTATCGAGATGGTATTTTGGAATTTTATGAATGTCTTTAGACAAAATGTGTGTGTCTAGTTGGCAAAACTCATACTGCATGATGATACCTTTCACTGAAACTAACATAACTAGTGAAAAAATGTTTTCAAGAGAAGATCATAGTGGACATGGATTGATTAGCTTAGTTTCTGGATTTAAGTCTGAATGAGCACTTGTGGAATGCTCTGGGAAGGCATGATATTATTTTTAAAGAGCTGATATTAGTAAAGAGCTTAATCCTGTTTTCAAGGAGTGATGGTCTTCTACGATTGATGATGTCATAAACAGCATGGAATTGTGATTATTGGTTCTTCTGTGAGCTAATCTTTCATAGAAAAAGTTTTCCATATAAAGTGATTTTATGCTGTTTTATAAAATGTAGAATGTAAATCACGTTGTTTTTTCAAGTTTTGTCAGAATCCTTTACGTATTATTTTGTTTATTATTCCCCTTAATTTATGGAAATCAATATATTTTAATAAATAAAATTATGTTTGAAGTGTTATTTGTAGTAATATGAATATCCTTTAATATTACTTTTATCTTTTTTAGGTATGCTTATGGGAATAGCTATGCGAACAGGTAGTCCTCTAAGCTTAAATTTGGCTGAACCTGTGTGGAAACAACTAACGGGAATGTCTCTTACATCATCTGATCTAACTGAAGTTGATAAAGATTATGTACCTGGTAAACTTCTGCATATTATCCAATCTATGGCTTGTAGATTTTAAGTGGCATGTAGAATAAATAGATATACATTGATTGTTGTCTTATGAAAAATTATCATTCAGAGGTATTATTAAACTCCATTAAAATAAATTTAATGAACCAAAATTCAATGTCACCAAAATTCAGTGTCACATTAAATTAAAATAAATTTAATGAACCAAAATTCAATGTCACCAAAATTCAATGTCATGGGCAGATTCAGTGAAACACACAAAATTATAAAAAATAAAGACTTATTCACATCTCAACAATGAACTTAGTTTGTTGTTTTGCAGAAACAGCATTTGCTCGGCTTCTGGTGTTTGAGCTTATACGTGTGAATTTTTTTCACATTTGAAGCAGCTTTAAATTTACAGAGATATTACCCGACTTCTGTGCTATGTGAAGCTGAAAGTGTCCGAATACTCATCTGATATTGAAAAATTAACTGAGGGAAAGCAAGAACAATGGTTGTATTAAGTTATTGAGGCATCAGTAATAATCAAGGATTATCCTAAGTATTCATTTCACAATTTACATTCAAATCAGGTTGACCCTTTTATACTTTCTGCTGTTATGTTTTCTGTACACTTAATTTTATTGAAGTTTAATGAGTTCTAGTTTGTATTTTACTGAGAGTTATACAGTTGGCAACCACTCATAATATATGCTTTTTAAGCAATTAATATTTTAACCTGCTACACTTCTTTTCAGATATGTGTCTGAATGGACAAATATTTAAATCCTATTTGAATTTGCATTGAAACCTTTATTGTTTAAAGTTTCTCAAGGTTTGATTTTTTTCATATATTATTATAGGAATTAAGTGACATTGTGCAAATATATTGCATGCAATTATTTTTACTGCATTTTATCAGCAAAGTTATCACAATTAGATACCACTACAGTGACTAAAAAATTTTCGGGGGAGGATTTTTTGATATCTGATCATGTTATGTTATTTCAGCATAAGGAATATCTAGTTCAGCAACAGGATTCAAATGGGGAGCAAGTTCATAACAAAAATGCATTGATTCCAGCAGAAAGTGTAATGGTTATGTTGATACACATGAACATTATGGCCCACCAGCAGCCGAGTGGTAAAGATGCTGAACATTGCTGAACAATTCCATGAATGGGCTGGCTGCATGGGTGTTTTCATGGTTTTCCCCATGTGTAACGTGTATACAAGCCAGTTTCCCTTAGAAAGTCCTCTATGAAGGCATCCCTCCCCTTAGGCAGATACCCCTCATGTGCTTTGCCATAATTGAATAATCCAATCCAATCCATTAATGTTATGCAGTTGCAAAGTCACCTTTCTTCTAATGTTGATATAAAAACATTAATTTAATCTTGTTAATATTCTTATTGATTCAGTAAACATTTTGGAATAATACTAAGAGCAATCTTTAATTACCTAACTTCTTCAAGTATTGATTAAACTCTAAAAACTCTGTGATGGCTAAGAGTGGGTGAAAAGTTTGCTAAATTTTGAAAAGAAAAGTACACTGCCTGACATATAAAATGCAATACCATGAAGATTTGGCTATATTATGCAAATTTTTGGAAATACAAAGTGGAACAAGTGATGCAGAGGATATATGATGCAAGTTAATCAGGTTATTATAGCGTGAGATATAAGGGAAAGAAATGGTGGACAAAGCAATAATCGCTACTCTCTGCTGCTTAGGGAAACCAGAAGTTTGAGAAAAATCAATGTTCCAAATGACACCTGTGAATGAAGAGATGCCTGAATGATGATGCAGTAAGCAGTTTCGATAAATGGATGACTTTATGAAGGATCATATTAAAAGCTTATGTAAGGCTGGTTGAACTTACTGCTGAAACACATGTAGATGTCTCCGCTGTGCATAGAACTTGGTTTAGATTGATCAATGAGAGAAAGGTAAACAGTTTGGAAAGACCAGATCCATCTAGACATATTACAGAATGTACAGGTCAATGCATATGAAGAGAAGTGGTGGATCCACAGTCGACTAAATGGGCATTTTGTGGAATGTGCAGGGAATTTTTGATGCTCCAATATATAGGAAAACGGTGTCCCGACATTTGGCTGAAAGCAACTTGCATACAAACTGCTCTTTGTAAAGACTGCCGTTAATGCCAAACCATTGATGCAATGGTGTCATCAACAAACCAGTTATGTGTCTGAATGGCATACTGTGGTATTCAGCAACAAGTCTCTGTTTTGTTTATCTGATGATAGTCAGCGATTAAGAGTCTGGAGATGCCGGGAGATTGAGCCAATCTGACTACTATTGAACCACACCACTCATCAATGTGGCATAATGGTTTGAAGTGCCATCAGTCAGCAGGCCACCCCTGTTAAACATCAGAGGCACACTGGTAGCGCAGTGATATGTTGATGGTGTACTGCAGTCGATTGTGCTACTTTACCTTCAGTGGCTTCAAAATGATACTTTCCAGCAGGACAACATGGCATTCATTAGCCAAAAAGCCTTGCAGTATGCCCGATTGCTTTCTTGGCCTGCAATGTCACAAAAGCTTTTGATGATTGAGCATATCTGTGACATGATTTGTCATTGTTTCTCTACTTTGCCCCAGCCATTATTGGAGGGCTTCCATCCTTCAGGATACTATCCGAACACTAACTGAATCTGTACCTTGTAGGGTTGCACCTTGCATTGCCAAGAAAGGTGGTCGTATGTCTTACTGATTTTTTTTTGTATATTTCAGGGCTGTATAAAGTTATCTTTATCACTTATTTACATATGCATGCTCTGTCTGTGTATCAATTGACCCAATCTTTCATAGTGGTGCATTTCCTTTGTCTGGCAGTATATATAAAAATGAATTTTTAAAACGATAAGATGGATTGATCATGGTTGACAAGCAGCAAATAGTTTATAAAATGGGTATCGACTGATCACTTAAAAGGGGAGACTTCAAGTTAAGGTTTCTTTGTGATTTGGCTGTTGATATGCTGCCTTATTATTAAGTTTTTATTTTAAAGTATTGTTACAGAGTGTTATTAAATTTAATTACTTCTATGTAGTTAATGCTTTAATATATATGTAGATTCTATGTGGTGTCAGATATTAAGACCCATAGCTGAGTATTTTTCATTGCTTTTTCACATCTTTTGCATTATCACACAAAAGATGTAAGCACTAGTTTTATTCATTACTGTTTACTAAAATAAAACTGGAGTTATGTAGCTAAATATCCTGCTCCTACCATGGCAGTTTTGAAGCAATGATATATCTAAGCATTATTTGTATGCGTCTTTTGAACCATTTAATCCTCCCTCCCCTTTCTTTTGAAATCAATATTTATGCTGTTGGATCACATTAATCCAAATTCCTCAGCGTGAGGCTGTTTTTAATAAACTTTTTTCCCTGAGTAATGCAGGATTTTGTGCAGATTTTTTTTTATTTACTTTTTCCAAGAATATTGTTTTTGAATGTATTTTGCTGCATCCTTCAAGTACTTTATAGTATCCTTATTAGCCTTAAGTAGATTATTAATTCAAATGTTGTATTGAATAAAAATAATTCATATTTGTCTTACAGGTAACTGCTGTGTAATTGAGATATTTTGCTATTTTGTAAATATTAGAACAATGGCAATGATGCATCTTTTATAATGCTATATGTTTTAATCTCACTTAATTCAAAATTCAGAATCCATACCATATACAGTACAAAGTCCGAAATCCGAACGTCCATTATCTGGAATGATCTAAAATCCAGACCTCAAAACCACCAACAACGCTTTTCTCATGGGCTTTTTACGCATGCGCATTTGATTCCCCCTTCCATGCATAATAAAACATCTGGAGAGTCCCGATTCTTAATTTCACTTCAACACTAAATATAATACCTTGTTATTGAAGAAACAATTATTTTTAGCATAAATTTGTAGGATCAGTAATTTGGTTCCATTGCTGTGTATCTCCTTGGCATGCATCTCAAACCAAAACATCACACATAGATACATCATTGATCTGACTCCATCCTAGCTAATCATTATTTATTGTACTTTCCTTTCATCACTGCATGTTTATCAAAACATGACAACTTGAGTAATGACTCATGTAGCGATGCCTAAACAATTTTTTTATGTTAGTAATTGAATAATAAAGGAGTATGGTAACCTTTTATGTTGACATTACACTTGGCGATTATTACAGATTTAAAGTTAAATGCATTAAAAAATGTTAACGAGGGAAAATTATTATTTGAATTAAGAATAACTGATTTGTTATTCACATAAACCCGGAACCAGTGTCAGGGCTCATATGGCCGCACAGAATCGCAGAATTTAGGACCCACAGAGACTGTATCAGGCGGTAAGATATCTAGTGCAGGCCCTCAATAAGGCTTAAGTATATGTGGAAATTTATTTATTCAAAACTCTGATAAGCCTTAAGTATGTACAAGAAATAGACATAAGTATAATAAATAACTAAACTTAATACAATTCAGGCTTGATTGTCTCAGTGCGTGATAGAAGCAAATAAAATTTAACGGAACAACTTGTTGTTAGTTGCCAACCTCATGATGCATAGCCAAATATGTATAGTGAAGGATAGCTAAGTTTGATGTTGATAGCCACTAATTTTAATGATTTTTGGATATCGAAAAACAAAGGTAAAATTTTCCAGTTAACGGATTTTGTAAAGAAATGTGGAGAAGTGGTAATAAATGAAGATGGTATAAAAGAAGTTTTTCATTGTGATGACAATGCTTCTCAATCATTAATCAATTATGGAATGGTGAAATCTGCAGTATTGTTTTAGTTCCAGAAAATACCACTACCGATAATGAGGAAAGTGACAGAGAAGTTACTGAAAAGGAGAAAATTTTTATTGGCAACTTAGTCGGAATTCTCGAAACAACAGTTACAGGACTTTAGCAATGTAACTAAACAAGAGATTATGTCTGTCTGCAGAATTAAAGAGAAAGTATTAGCACAAAAAAAAGAAGCAACTTAAACAACTTACATTGAAAGAAATGTTTAATAAGTTAAACAAATAAATATTAAGCTTTTTTTTTTTTTTTTCGTAAATTTTGGCACCCTTTAGATCATGAATATTTCATTATTTTATAAATCACAATTTCATATTTTTAATTTTATAATTTCTACATGCCATTTTACTAGATTTAAACTTTTGATCTAATATCCGGAAAAATCCCAAATCCAGAATTGCTGAAGTCCCTAGGAGTCCAGATTTCGGACTTTGCACTTTTCTTTGTTCTTTAATTAAAAATATTTATTTTAAATAACTAAGTCTTATTTGAGTAGTTTCCACTCCTTGTATCTGTCAATCTGTCCCTATATGCATGAGCATCCTTAAAAGATATTTGGTGGAAAGAAAAATATTGGAGTCAAATAATTACATGAATAAATGTTTACTTAATTGTTTAATCGGGGGGTTTCACAAGTAGATTACAGAATACACCATTTCATCACTAAAAAGAACATATTTTTACTCAGTTCCAGGAAGATAAGAGCCCTTCATGTGTGCTCCCTTTTGCAGACACCCATGTCTATATATGTAATTATCAAATACTAAATACCTGCTATTGCTTAATATGTTTATTTGGTCTTTTATTAAGGGCTTGTTAGCATTAGCTACATGGAAGCTGAAAGCCTGCGGAAATTTGACTTGCCCTTCAGTACTCATAGTGCAACTGGTGCAGAAATTCCTCTTAGCTCAAAGTATTCTTGTATTACTCCAGAAAATCGAGTGGAATATATTCGTCTTGCATTGAATTATAGGTAATTTAGATTAAATTTTGAGATCTATAGTGACATAAAGAATATTTATCTTCTGATGTTAATTGTTGTTTTATTCTCTTTTTATACATGTAAAAGACCTTCTGGATGTTGTTGAAAAAGGGCAGGTTATTTCTTATTCGGTGTCTAAATATCATTATAAATCATATGACCTTTTTGTATCTTTGAATTACACTGGTGGGGAAAATTAAGAGAACATTAAAATTTAATATATTTTGCTTTAATTTTAATGATGAAAATGAAACTTTTTCAATACCTCTGTCTTGACATGTTTAGCATTACTTTAAATAACAATGCTTTTTTTTTAAATTCAATAGAATTTAAACATCTGATATATAACTCACTGTTAATAGACAGTGTTAATTGTTATCAGGGTTGAAAATCATCAGACTTATCAGGGTCTTTGAAGGTTGAAAATTATTTGCAACTTGAAATTTTAAACTTCAGCAAAAACTAAAAGCAAATATCCGAACTTTATGCTACTGACTGAACAGTCGACTGAATATAAGGAAATAAATTTTCGGCCTGTATCAGTTAATCAATAGGGAATTTGTGCAATGCTATTAAAAAAAGTTTCACAACATTGAACCATTACATTATTAGAAAAATTGTCATATGGCTTTCAAATATAAATATGTATAATAATAATGAATCTGATTTGTGACACCAGAATATCAAGAGTATGGTAGGAGTGCTCAAGTAGCCATTAAAAGGAAAAGTAATTGAACAAACTTGCAACCTTGAATGATCATGATCTTCAGACTCAACTATATCATACCTAACCAATGACACCAGGCCTTAGCTCAGGTGACTACTCAGCTGAATGAGGAGTCCAGCCAATCAAGAAATGTTGTAACTATGGAGTTGAGAAGCCAAGAAAGTATGAAAACAAAATTTTCTGACTGCAGTGAACCAAAAAAGCACTTCTCAAACAATATCTACATTGTATGCAGAAACGCTGCTAATAAGTGCTGTTTCTGCAACAAAATATATATGATTTGATACATATATATGATTTGAGTTAGAAATTAATCAAGAAATAATAGTTTAATATTTAAGTTTTGTCTAAAAAATTGTTTTGTCTTTTATTTTATGAAAATAATAAGCCTTTTTTCTTGTATAATCTTTATTTAATAAAATATAAAGTTCTGTCATTGCAGTAAGCACAGACACACATATATCTATATGTATATACAATTGTGAACTGTGGTCTCAAGTGAAATGGATTTTTTTTCAAGTGAAATGGATAATAATAAGGAGTATTTTAATCCTTATTGTGTCTGTTTTTATGCAAACTGCAATAAGCTTAACAAAAGATTTGAAGATCAATATTACCAGCTATTATAAAATAAAAGTGAAAAAAAGCTCTGCAGCAGTACCAATTGTTCTGATTGGTGCAATCCTGATCGACAACACAATTATTAAATTTTGTTTAAAACCTTTGAACACACAATTTTGACATTTTATTTCCTTTGTATTTTCTCTCACCCTTATATTGAGCAAATCATGCATAGAAAATAATATTTGTAAGGTATCCCAAATTGTGGTGATTAGAAATTGTACGATTTTATTGAAGCTTCTGTTTCTGGTACATTACGAAGTCTGTAATCCGGACGTCCATTATCCGGAATGATCTATAATCCGGAAAACTTTATGCATGCGTGCGTTGAAAGAAATGTTTAATAAAGTAAACAAATAAATATTAAGCTTCTTTTTTTTTTTTTTTTGTAAAATTTGATACCCTTTAGATCATAATTGCTCTTTATTTCATAAATTACGATTTCATATTTTTAATTGTATAATTTCTGCATGCCATCTTACCAGATTTAAATTGATGATCTATAATCCGGAAAAACCCCTAATCTGGAATTGCCGAAGTCCTGACGAGTCCGGATTACGGCTTCATACTGTATAAAAAATATCAATGTTGGTTACTTCACATCCTTCAAACTTAGCTCATATGTATTTGAAAAAAAAAAAAAAAAGTTATTCATTTGATGAGACTTTCATTCAAGTATTACTTTTAAGAAGTTGAAAAAACTTTTATTCAGAATTTGAAGTTATTCCAAAGTAGTAGTGCTGTAACTAACAATGGTAGGATTAAGGAATTTAATTCAGTGCCGAATAATAGAGCAGTGGATCAGAATGAATTCAGGTTCATTTGACTCAGATAAAGCAGGAAATAATTTTTTCCCTTTCAAGTTCAATTTGATTCCATACTAGCAACTGTAGCAACATGTCCACTTTAGGGCCTATTAAAAAAAAAAAAAAAAAGGATGAGAAATATGTGTAGGAAAAGATGAAAGTAATTTAGAAATCTGAAATTAGTGTATTATTTTGGAATTCCTTGGGAAATTTAATGAATACAAACTGAAGTAAATTATAACGTGAATAAAAAAGAGAGCAGACTGGAAAAAAGCTGTGGGTATTCAACATAGCAAACTATTGTGTTAATAATCAGTTAATTAAATTATTTTGGAAAATCTTTCCAAAGCTGAACTGCTCAACATTTTGAAAAAAAAAAAAAAAAAAAAAAACCTTACAAATATAAGGCTGTCTTATTCTCTGTCTTTCTTGAAAATAGAAAGCAGGTCTTAAATTAAAATTCACTTGGATTCATTAATTTTCCAAAGTGCATATGTAGTTTAATGAACAATACCAATAATGGAATTTGGAATTCTTTATTTTACTATGAATGTATTTTCTTAATGTATGATACTTTAATTATGTCTTTCTAAGGTTGAATAACCGATTAGAAGAAACTGGGAAGTGCTGTGTAAGAAAAACACTTGTATTTCATAAACAGGCTCTGAAAAGAAATGGTCTTTGCCAATACTTCAGATAATTGTTTGATCAGATTTGTTTAACTTCTGTGTGAAAAAGAATAATTTTAGAATGGATATACAGTCTCTTTGTAAGGAATGTTTTTCCTTCCATACTGTATGCCTTCACAGTACAATTCAAAGCATGTAATTCGGCTAGCCATACGAAGGTTCGGAAATTAAATCCTTGCATGGGCATTCCTGATTTTTCATGTTTTCTGCTACAAAATAAATCTAACAGTATCTATGCAAATGGCCCTTGAACTAAAATGTGATGGATGACAATTTATAACTACCTAGATTTGATGGCAGGGCAGTGTATTTCCAAACCCTACCCCACTTTTCGAATTTTTGACGTCATGGACAAATCGACTAGTTTCGCCTGGATGGTAATTCTTAAGCATGCATGGAAGGGCGAGAAGTAACATAAACAGAACTTTGACTTGCGCTTGTAAACAGTATTAAGTATATTGTCTGAAAGTGTATTCGTTTATGTAATTGCGTAATTTTACTGTTTCTGTAATAAGAAAACTCATCAGATAAAATTTATTTTAATATTATTATTATCTGGTTATAGGATTATACAAAATGCTGAATACTCTAGGTTACTATCGTAATCTTCGCATAACCTTTCACATTGGATTTTGCCTTATCATTTTAAAATATATATAAAGATTAAATCAAAGCAAATTACTTTGTTAGAGATGTGAATGTTCTAACTAAATTTTTCTTTTATCACTTATTATTATTTCCTCTTTGAAAACAATTCATATTTGACAAATAATTATCTTCGCTGAAATTTTTTGATCGTTTAAAAACTATATTGTCAATAATGTAATAGAAACTCACTAATCTAGTGCTTCATAGATCAATATGACAATGAATTCAAAATGTTTTAAAAACAGTTCTTTAATCTTTATTTGTAGTAGATGCAACTAATGTCACAGAGAAAAAATATTCAATAAAAAAGTTCTCCATGTTAATTCAATAGCAAAATTATTTCTATTTCAGTGATAAATCCACTTTCAATGCTTATAACAGAAAAAGTAAGAAAGCATTTTAGAAGTTTTAAAATAAAGTTAAAGGTTTACTGTACAATTTATGTAAGAAACGTAATAATTTACTTTCATTCTTTTAAATCGGCATATTAGTTTCCAATAACTAAAATTTTGGGCAAGTTAGAGACTTAACACACAGTATTCCGTCATTAAAATTTTTAAAATATCAATTAATTGTGCTTTTTCATTTAGAGATACATTGGAATTGAAAATAATAAAGGCAAAATGGGTCACAGATCCAACCTAATTCCTTATTTGGAATTTTTTCAAAAAATTTTCAGTCAGTTTTATCATGTGTTGTTTTAAACAAGAAATCTGTATTATTTCTTCAGTAAATTGTAAAAAAGCATGTTTCTCCTTTTTTTTTTTTTTTTTTTTTTTTTTTTTTTGTTCAATTCTTGCCAAAGTATGGCTTTATTTAAAAGCTTGCATTAGTACAAACTGCGACACAGTGTGTCTAGGTAAGATTATTTGTTTCAAAATGTCTGTTAATAATTTTCAAATATTTTCTCTCCAGTTGCTTTTCCTTCCCAAATATACAACATAAAAATATTCTACTGCGTCGTTTAAAAAACATATCTCACATAAACGATGAAATGAAGCATTTTAGTAATGTCGGTTAGTTTCATCAAGTTTTATAGTAAAGACTGGATTTGTATTCTATAGTGCTGATAGGACAAAAAATTTGGTGAGAAACAGTATCTTTTTTTAATGCTATTGTTTTTAAATCGTATATTATCTGCATGCATAAATGATATCATTTTAATGCTGAAGGAAGAATGAGCGATTCTCCAATTATATGAGGTTTTAAATTTTTTGCAATTAAATATGAAACTTTTAAGGATGCCTGTAAATCCTTTCAGGAACTTTGTATATTTTTCAAAAATACATTTTAATTTTCATGCTTCAGCTCATTCCTTAAAAAATTCTTAGATTATTACTTAATCTTTAGTTTTTTGAGTACTTTTCAGTTTCACTGGCGCAAATCTCGCCAAGTAGACTTTTGTTGGCGACAACATACAGTATACACATAAAAGCTGTTAACAAACATTAGTTCTAAGAATTTTTTATTTTGAAGGCATAAACATTTTAATATGGTTTAAAAT